CATGAACAACCATATATCTCTTCCATTCGATCGCATATCATGAAGGTGAAGGGATCGGGAGGTGAGTGTGTCATAATAGACACGGAATCAATCCTAGAAGCCGCTGGCTTAGTTTCAAAGTCGGCGCTCATCCCGCCATCGACGCACAGTCGGCGCAGGACGTTCGTAGCTTCTGCTGGGCCGATGTGGACTAAACAAACCTTCCCGGCCTCTTGTCTCTCCGACAACGTAGGAATGACAGTCAAAAGATCTGTGTGAAGGTGCATCCACGAGGTATGCTGCGGTCTCTGGGGAATACTCCCTCTTGAATATACTGGGTGCCCCGAAATTCGCACGAATAGGAACGCCATCTCTCCCGCCATCGGAATCAGAGACGATAGACCATTCATCACATTCTGCGTCGGACAGTGAAGGAGTCATCCCCTCGCTGCTATTGTCGCGAAATGCTGTTTCCTCGAAATCCCTTTTTATCCTTTCGAAAACGTAAGCCATAGGTGAATCCGCTGCAGCAATACTAGGCATTCCATGTGGGAATCTATCGAAGACAGACAAAGGATTGTCACCAATCCTTCTGTAGGTTGCCAACGAGTCATCAGTCACAGTTGCTCCCCATGGATGGACTTCTTCACCCCCAGAATTGAGCATAGGCGCCTCTGTTGGGCGTACCCGGTTAGCCAATAATCGAATGTGTCGGTTCGGATTCTTTGGGTCTGCGTCGCCAAGGACTATTCTAAAGGTCACTGGGGAATAAGAATGTGAGACCGTCAAAATGTACATTGCTGTCTCGAAGGTGTCCACATATTCTTCACTGATACTGAAACATTCTCTGCAAGGGAACCACCATTTCAAACCTGATTTCCAGTGTCCAACTAGTGCTTTTGTGGCCATGGTGGGCTCTATTCTCAGCTACGCTTTGGCTTGAGGCAGAAAGGTAGGTATGATTAGGGTGTTTCTGGGCGGTGAGATACTGGAATGGTAACTAGGAAGGTGAATTAGTTCGAGATCTGAAAGCTTAATATACTATTACTGTAGGTGCTATTAGTAAGTTAAACTCTATGGAGCTTCCATCAACATGGATATGTCTTTGTCGGTATTTGCCCGAATTCCAAGACTAACCATATCCTTGGCACGGGCCGCGATATCGTCGACTAAAAAGTGGTTTTCAAAAATGCAGCTGGGGAATTTGATGGGTCAAGTGCTTCCCTTCCCCCATTTCGTGAAGGAACTTGCAACCATTAAACAAGTTCCACAAGTTTCTGTTTTATTACTGCACACAATTGGCTATGAATTGCGAAGACCTCAATTAGCTGCTGAAATCTGTAAGAGTAGATATTATCTATTCTTAGGGCATGGGTTATTTCCGACTTGTCATAGTAGACATACTGTTAAAGTTGAGACTGAGGGTACCCGTCTGAACTATCTTGACGAAAGGTGCATCCTCCCTGACTTATTCTTCTTCAGAAGTTTCTGCAGAATTCTCGTAACGGTATCTACCGTTGGTTGGCCGGTAGTTTAATTCGACTGTTGGTACTGTTTCAAAAGATGCCCCTGAATCAGCGCCATTTTCATCACTGTCCATTGCACCGTTAACTTGTGTGTCAAGTGGAGAGTCAGTTATACGATCTTCCCATATGATAAAGGGAGAGGTTGTGATCATCTCGAAGTCTGCCTTGATGTAACTCAATGACTGATACACGTCATTCAAGGGCTCACATGTCAGATAGTCATCATTGTCATGTCTTTTGTAGAACGTCATTTCATCGCCGATCCAAGTTGCTCCCCAGGGAAAAAGTCTTTGTACGCCGCCGCGGGCAATGATCGGTGGTATAATTACGCGTACTACATCTTCCAATAAATCCAGATAACAATTAGGGTGCTCGATATCAAGTTCGCCCGCAACTATATGGAACGTTAAACGGGAATGCACATATGTCACTGTGACGATTTCAATAGGCGCACTGTAGGTTTGGGAGTCTCTCATGACTGAGATACTGTAGCCTCGTTCAGTTGGAAACCAGTCCTGAAGCAGATATTCCCAATATCCCTGTAGTAGCCTTTGTCTGTCGTCTGTTGACGTGTTATTTTCGGGTTCCATTCTTTGTGACCTTGAATAGGACAGTGGTTGGGCTCAATAGCACGGTATTTTCAGTGATTGAGCTGTTGTACAAGTATCCAACACATGGCGCTTTGAGTCTCCTTAAATGGTTTGATGTGATGCAAGTACAGACTAGGGTGCGGACCCTTCCGATGATATAGAAGGGATCGATCGGCACCTAACTAAATTATCTGGTCTTGAGCACTGCATCGGTATCTTCCATCCAGTTATCTCAAACGGCAGACGTCCGGATACAACGAATGATTTTGCAGAAGTGTAAGGCAGATTCTAAACATTCTAAATAGGCAAGGAAACACCTGAGAGGTGATCTCTCGCCGCTTATAATACATCGGTCTCTGCGCCTCCATTTCAGTCATCTCCAAGTACTTGACGCTGTATTATAATCCTATGTAGAAGAAGAAAGATTTCGGGGTTATTTTGCGATCTACAGTTAGAGCGATTTTAGATAGAGGATAATAATTGTCCGAATTTACCCAACACCGTCAGTCAAAAATGAGCTCTTCCCGGACTTCCTACTGACCAACGCTCATAGCTAGCATTCCACGAGAGCATCCTCCCGTCGGACCCACTTTCCCTTGATATCAACTCCAGACAGCCGAAAGCAGTGTCAAGTCTGCCTGGGTTCTCGCATCATACGCCTCAGCTCAGAGAAGTCACTAAAAGCAGCACGGTTTTGTTTTCGGCTCACAACAAGGGAACAATAAGGACGCAGCCTCTTATGTTCCGTTCACTTAACTACACACTTCAAGATCGTCGAATATCTGAATGCCGTCCGATTAATAATCTTAAAGCAAACCGAGGTCCTAGGCCAGTGATGATTAGAAAATGTAAAAGCCATCTCCGACATCTCTGCTAGCAGAGCAGACATTGGCGGGCGTTTTGGAACCAAAAATTTCCACAATGGTGTGGCGTTGATGTTTCAGAAAAGAAAGACAGTCACCAGGATTATTTTTTATTTTTTCGTTTCAACGCCAACAGTTTCCAACGGTCGTAGCTGCTCGAACTCTTTAATTAATTCTTTTCCATAATCATGAACGTCCTTTCCGTGCGAGTTTGAAGTTTCACACATTCATTTATTCATTCATTTAATGAGTCATTGTTTTTGGTAAACATCAATTGCACATACACAACTACCGCCGCTTGTTGTAGGGTTTAAACAAAACAATGCTGTCCGCAGAGTTTACTCCTTTGTCGGACCGAGTGTACCTACGCCATGGCAGAGAGAAAGCCAAATCATGCGGGAAGGACGAGCCAACCACAATCATCATCTTTGGCTGGGGTGACGGTATGCCGAAGCATGTCTCAAAATATGCCGATGGCTTCCACGATCTGTACCCGTCCGCTCGGATACTTCTCGTACTGTCAAGCACCTTTCAGGCTCTGAACCAACCTCTTGAAGCTAGAATACAAGACATGATGCCGGTTATTGACACTGTTTTCCCTACTCCAACGGGAGACGGCAGCAATGAAGAGCGAGTTCTCCTGCATTCGATGTCAAATACCGGCGGTATATTCTTGGCCGCTACCATAACGGCCTACCAGAAACGCCATGGCGCGGACAAAAGACTACCCCATGAGCTTCTTATTTGCGATTCAACACCCGGCGGGCTTTCTATCTTCACACAAGCCGGCCGCTGGTCGCGGGCTATGGCTGTGGGCACATCCAAGTTCTTTCCATGGCCTTGTATGGTCACGCAGGCATTGTGGTTTGCTATCCTCTGGGTTCACTCCGGCCTGGGGTGGCTGCGTGGGCTGGAACCTTCTGGGGTTTGGGCTGATCGGGTAATGAATGATGAGTCGATTACAACGCGAGAGTCCAGTCGGCTTTACTTGTATTCAAAGGAAGACGAGATTATAGGTTTTGAGGACCTTGAAGAGAATGTTGCCCAAGTTAGGACCCTAGGCTATCGGGCGGTTGACCTCGAGCTCTTCGAGGGCTCACCACATGTTGGCCATATGAGGCTACATCCAAAGCAGTACTGGGGAAAAATCTCGGAGTGCTGGAAAGCGGCCATAGTTCGAAAATAATATTTCGATTTGCCACCATCAATGGGTCTTAGAAGAGGCAGCCTTTCATACGTTGATATACAAAGACGACTAAAAGTCTTTTCGGGGGGAGGGGGACATCTGTGGCATAATAGAACTGTTGCGTCACCGACACAGGTAGTAACCCAAGTCTTTCAACTTAACTAATAAATTTGATAAATCTCGACATATTCTCACTGTGCCGTTCTTCAATGATGGTTTGCTAGTTTGTTTACTTATCTATTTTCTCGTAATATTTCGTGTGCTGGAACAAGATAAGCAAATGAAATATGTTATTATGATTAAGCCACTTCATTGATGGACTCGAAGTATATAGTTGTCAAATAAGTTTCATCGATACTAGCTGAGATTCCTGCGACATATCTTCTGTTATTCAGGAAAATGTACTTCCCCTCTCTTGATTTTTTTTTTTTTTTCACGAGGGGCGCATTGCTTTTCAGACTATCCTAGCCAAGACTACAAGGGCCTCTTCCTATAGCCCGGTAAATAGTACCAAGATCCGAGGGCCGCAATGTCGCGGCGAAGGATGGGTAGACTCACTACTACGTATAGTCTTCCAACCAGTCTCGAATTGATCACTTTTTATCAGAAGACTGTGGAATACGTCCGATCCAGCCTGTCAAACTTCCCCAAAGAACCCTTTTAGGCAAATTTCCTAGATCTGCGCATACTAATGTTAAGGCGGACATTTACCGACATCGGAAGATCTCCTCATCGGGAAATCCCCGTGTTAGCACCAGGTCCCGGCATAGAACTTGATGCAATTAATAACATTTAAAATTGAATATACTCTAAAGTTCACATAGTAGCAATCGCAAAATCTGACAATATTCTGGAGATGGATTCAAAACACCACGTGTACCCTTCCTTCAATGACTTGCCGTTGAAGAAAGATGGCCCTCCCGGTAACGCTTGGGGCCTTTGGGGTCCTGACGATCAGATCGGGTCTTTGAATCATCTTACGGACTCAGTAGTGGCGAGGGCAGCCAAAGAAGAGGTTAAAACCGGAATCCGGGTATCATTGAAGTATGTTAGCTACTAGTAACTCGACGTCGCCGCACCGAGAACGTCTGGGTCTGTTAACGCAAGATATCTATAGTTGGGCTCTGAATGCTTCCTCATATCCCCACTTGACGCGCAAAACTCTAGAGCTCAAACTGATCAATAAGGCACCTCTCAAAATTGCTCATGACGATGAGGTATGTTTACAAGATTTCCTGGAAATAAGTGCTATACTGAAGATAAGATAGTGGTCGTTCAACCCACAGTGCAGCTCACAGTGGGATGGGTTTCGACACTATGCCTACCAAAACGAAGAGGTGAGCGGAAAATAAAGCCACAAAATTTAGGTATATTCTAATAGACATGGACGCAGCTATATTACATGGGTCGAACGGCAAAGGAGTTCGAAGCGTCCACAATCCCGAACGGAGTTCAACGTATGAGTCCTATATGTGTAACTGTTTGAAACAGACGCACCAGAGCGGCAGGTTGATACTAATGATAAATATATGTGGCAGACATTGCAGAACGAGGTATCGCTGGACGTGGCATACTTCTCGACTGGTACAAATGGTACCAAGACAAAGGCCAGACTGTGGATGCCATGAGTCCTCATCCCGTACCGTTTGACCAGCTTGTTAAGGTACTGAGGTATCAAGGACTATGCGAGGATGACATTAGACCTGGTGATATTCTTATAATTCGCTTCGGCTATATCAGTCAATACGAAGGTATGAGCGAAGACAAACGAGCGCGACTTGATGCGCTGTACAGGAAGCAGAAGCCCGAAAACATCGGGGTGGAGCCTTCCGAAGAACTTTTGAGGTTTTTCTGGGATAAGAAGGTTAGCGCCGTTGCAGGCGATACGCGATCGTTGGAAGTTTGGCCTTGCACACAGACCCAATGGCATCTTCATGAGTGGTTGCTTGCTGGGTGGGGAATGCCTATTGGAGAACTTTTCGACTTGGAAAAGTTGAGTAAAACCTGCCGTGAAGCGAATAGGTATAGTTTCTTTTTTACAAGCGCTCCTATGAATGTGAGTCATTCCCGTTCCAATGGAATTATACTGTTGGCTGAGTCTCACCGTACCTATAATTTACAGGCTCCCGGCGCTGTTGCCAGCCATCCGAACGCTTTTGCATTTTTCTGACGCCTTTTCGGGGACTTCAAATACCAGTGAGAAAACTGGCAAACTGGTAGTATGGCAAGCTGGCGGCAAAGCATGTCCGGGATTGTACATAGTACAGATTGAGAGTTATGGAATATCCCGTGACGGAGAACAAATTAAACCTACTTGGACCATTAATCATGCACAGGAATTTTAAGTTGTGGATACCTACATGCATCACGAACCAAACGCCATCTACCATAAAGATCTACATCAGATATGCAAACATAGAAGCCGTTAAGGGCCGAATTGGGGAATCAACAGCATGAATCAGACATATTGTATATGAAAGACATCTTCATTGAAGGATTCGTCTTGCTATATGTCTCTTTCGGAGAATAGAGAAGACAGGGTCAAGAAAAATATACACCCGAGATCAATGAGTACAGGAACGCACTCACATAACAAACACGCCCATCCTTAATGCGTCTTCTTTGATTTGAGCTCCACCATGCGAAGACATGTATTGAGTCACAATATTTAATGACAACCAGGATTTTCATAAGGCAAGGAGGACAGAGATCGTTTGCAAGAAGACCAGGGGTTTTTACAGCGTGTACTTGAAAATAGGGCTCTTCTCGCCCATGGCTGCCAGCTGATCCGGAGTATAAGTCTCACAAACTTCACTCTCAGAAACACCGTCTTTGTGCTGGTTCAAGCGCCACAATGCATATTCAAGTGAACAAGCTGCAATAATTCCCATAGCGATAATCCCAAGTGACACACCGTATCCGACCACATAGTGGGGAGCTTGATTATCAAGGAATACATTTGTTCCAATGAAGCCTGGCGACGTCAGTGATGATTATAGGTGTCCATGAAGTAGATTAAAACTCACAAGCAGTATTTGCTGCAGCCAATAGCCAGGCGATACCAATCGACCTTTTCCAACACTGGGGAAGGTTGTTCCCGGTCCAGGCCGAAATTCCAGGCAGCAACGGATAAATGCCGATGTGTGCTAGAATGATCGCAAAATACATTGGGCCTTTGTAGGCGTCAACATTAGCTGACAATATCAAGAGTATTGAGAAAGATACAAGCAGCAAGGCCATTGGAGCGACAATGAATGGGAAACGCCAAGTAAACCGATCAGCAAGTCGGCTACTCAACCAACTAGAGACAGCACCGCAGAAGTACGGTGGAATTGTCAATAACTGGGCATCCTGCGGTTCGAAGCCCAGCTTGTTGATGATTGTAGGCATTGTGTAGGAGAATGCCGCATTAGGGGCGGCGTTGACCATGCCCATTAGCGCCCCTAGAAGGATCTTCCAGTCTAGCATTGTATTGAGCAGTAATGACCAGGAGAACTTGTCACCTTCTCCGGTGGTGGACCGATTGCCGCTCTGTCGGAAGCGAAGATCGAGATATTGTTTTTCTTCTGCTGTGAGCCATCCCACCTTTTCAGGACTATCTGGTAGCAGAAGTGGGAGGAACAGGCTGAATGCGGACGGGACAATACCCTCCAATATAAAGATCCATCGCCAGCCCGCAATCCCGCGAATGCCGTCCATTTTCGATATTCCAAAGGCTAAGAGGCCACTGAATGCTCCCGAAATGGCCGAAGCTATGTATAGAATAGCCAAACGTTGTTGGATGACATTTGGCGGGTACCACTGTGTAACCAGATAGACAGCGCCAGGAAAGAATCCCGCCTTAACACAAAATGCGTGGTGAGCATGTGGAAGCCCACGATGAGGGTGAGCTTACCTCACATATGCCCAAAAATACGCGACATGCGGTTAGGCTTGCGAAGCCTTGAACAGCACCCATACATGTCATCACGATGCCCCAAGTGAGAACCTGGGTCGCAAGCCAAAAGCTTGGACGTGTTTTCTTGAGCATTACGTTTGACGGGATCTCTGAGCCAAATCCAGAACCATTAGCAACTGAGGTGATCCGTAGTATCATGAATCCAGACCTACCGAAGATAATATAAGGAACGAAGAATAGACTGCTCGCAATGTTGTACTGGTTCCCAACAAGGTTCAGGTCCCTACCCATTCCCTCGATTTTCGCGTTACCCAGGTTCGAACGGTCAACGTGCGAGAAAAGGTAAAGCAATCCGAGAACAGGAATAATATGTCGGTCAATCTTCGTATTTTGTCAAAAAGATATTAGAGTGTTGACTGGGAATCATATCGTATTCACCTTTCTTATAACCTGCTTGCCTCGCTTTCCTTCATACGCACGTAGGATTGCGGCCTCTTCGTCCGAGAAGCCTGCATAGGCAATAGATTCAAGATGCGCGACACCAAGACCTAGCTTTGCTTCTTTTCCAAGATCCTGCTCCATTGTTTTGCAAAGTCCTTATGCCACTGGTTACAATGATAGCGGTATATGCTGTGGAACACGGAGCCAAATCACCGCGAATAATGAAAATAGTCTCCATAGATGCTTAAGAAGGATAGTCCGCTCCCCCTTTATTTCAGACATAGAGGCTAGTATGGCATGAATAAGGGTATTGGATCTGGATACCCGCGGGGTATGTCCGCTTCGGATAACATCCGAGGAGGGCTTTCTGGAGAAGCCAGTTGCCTGACCCATCGGTAAGATACCGGAACACAGTCTCGGAATAAAGCAGACTAAGCGTTGCCCCTTCTGTTAGTTATTTTAATCACTAATCAGCCCACGTATCATGTCATGTCCTCGATAGGTCATTAGCAGAGATATACTGTTTGTGAAATTCCTGTCGGAAGTGTACTTGTTGACACTTGGCAGACGCAAGATCTAAATGCATTACCCCTACTCTCATGATATTGTCGAAAGCAATCTTATTTATCGCAGGAATGTATTGCATGCTCTATAAAAGCTCCAGGGCGATCTCAAATATAGGATCGAGATATGAGTCGTGGTTAACAACGGTTGAATCAGAGATGTCAGGGTCTATGTCTGCTCATTTCCCACCAAATTCCATGTCAGAGGCAGGATAAAGCGTATCACTTCTTCAACAGAATACTCACTATTTAAGATTCATATATTGTAGCCTGGAGCTGTCCAAAAACTCCCAATCATACGGGGCTGGTCAAAATTGGTTACTTGGTCATTCAGATGACAACAATTTCGTCCAATCACTGCCGATATCTCGCATTACAGTCCAGAATCCAGTTTCCGAGGGTTTCGGTAAACAGAAACCAGCCAGGATATGTATTGCCAAGCCTAGGCAAAGGAAAGGTATGGTATTTCTGTGTTACCTTGAGAAACGCAAACAGCCATACGTTGTTGAATGCTAGAACATATCAGGACCCAACAAGCCGAGACCGCACTTCCAATCCTTTCACGGCTGAGTCAATTCACTATCTGCAAGTTTGATGATCTCTGTTGCATCATTTTTAACGCACATAGATTGTTATCCCCCATATCTGCCGGTAGAGCCGAACTATCTTGTTCGTCTGTGGATTCTCAGCCTGGCTATTTGGAGCTTTCTTCTATTCTTCTACTCTACTCAGCCCATATTTCATGTGTCATCCGAGCAGCAACAGCCCAAAACGTGCTATAGGAATTAACCTAGTGCTGAAGATACATAAGCGGCAACAGGAGCTCCAGAGCATATTTTGGGTTCAATCTGAGTAGTAGAAAGACGATACACCCGTATCACAATTTCATCGGGGACATCGCACTCCCCTGAAATAATATATGGAGTGGGCGTATTCTTCAGGTTCACGTATGAACAAAACTGCCATGCATCTAGTCGCACTTAACCGCACAAAATCAACCCAAATACGGAGTGATAAGCTCCCAAGCAGCCACCCACTTCTCCTCGTCGTCAAGCTCCACCATGATCATGACCTCCAGCTTCTTCTCCTCTTCATCACTCATTGCCAAATCACAAATCAGCCGTGCAGCAATTTTCTTGTTGTCGTAAGCGAAAAATAGCAGGGAACTGTTTATTTTCTTGCAGTTTTGGCGGAAGAAAGTAATTTTCTCGACGGCGCGCTCAAAGTCCGTTCGGTCGCTACCAGCTTCCAAGCGAACATAGTTGGGGTTGAGTACTTCTTCACAAAATGAACGAGCTTCGCTTGGGTTTCCGGTGAAGATTCTATCCCAGATGGATTTGAATTGCTCGGGTGTCATTCTGAATGTTGGCAGCTCGTAGAGAAGATTAATAAACCGTTGTGTTGTGTGTTCAGGCTTTCGCGAAGTAAGAGTGAAAGGGTTACACAGTATGTTGCTTTGGCATGATGGCCTTCTAGCAATTTATAATCTGCTTTTCACAGGCTGAAGGAGAAGTGAATGTGGCTATGGTGTATAGCAGGGTCTTATTAAGGCCAATCCAGCACCATTTAAACGATAAGGCGTCCCGTCACGCCTTGCGAAACGACCAGACAAAGATCACCGCTCCGCTCCCGCGGGATTATCCGGAATCTAACAAGCACAGTAGACACAGCTTACGCGTAGCAGCGTGAGCCATTAGTAGCCAATCTACGCACGTAAATACTACGTGGTCGGACCGGCAGGGAAATATAAATTAAGCAGTACAGTTGTCGCTGACTGCGCTTACTTAGCTGAGCTGCCCAACATCTCCACTGAGTATCACAATGCCCCCACCAGAATATGTTCTCCCACGGGACTATCTTGACAACAATCGTTACGTGCGAACAGCTAACTGACCAGCATGGCCACACTCTAAACGATGGGGACAGTATCAAACTACAACACCATCTCACGACGGAGCTATTCGGATACCTCCTGCACCTAGACATACCTCTCCAGAACGCGAATCTCAAAATTGCAGACATCGCTGCAAGGTTCTTATTTTGCGACTATCGGAGTTAGTGGGTTGGCCAGTATACTGAAGTTTGATTGTAGAATCGTTCTCACCGATTTAAGTCGTCGTCTTCCTTCGTCAGCGTACCTTGATGCGTTTGACTCCTCATTAGACGCCTTTCCGCTCGAAGAGAGAGTTACTCCCTCGCAATGTTGGTTTATATAGATGGGATATTAAAGTAGACGTACCGACAGAGCTCGAAGGAGCTTACGATGTAGTCCATGTCCGCAATATAGTATTTGTGTTATCAGATGAGGAGATCGAGGACGTTCTCAGCAAACTACTTAAACTCCTAAGTATGATCATTTATAAGTGAAACCTCGCTCTTTGCCGGAGAGACTGATATCCCATGGTTATAGAGCCTGGTGACGACCTTCAATGGGGAGAGGTGGATACCCACTCCCTTCATAGATAAGATTAACGGCGAATGCAGCACCGCCGCCATTGAGGAAATAGTGCGGATCACTCGCTCCGCAGACCCCAGGCTGATGCCTCACTGGGTTCCTGAGCTGCCGCGGTTATTTGAGAGTGTTGGGCTCGTGGATCTTAGGAAAGATACTCGTGAAGGACCTGGACACATTGATTATACTTTTCATGAGTGCGTCTTGATGGTACACGATATGATTGCTCGGAAGACAAGTAATGAGGGGGTAGGACGGCGTTTAAAGGAGATTCTCCCGGAGGTTTTAGAGGAAACATACAATGGGGCATTTCATGTATGGACCAGGCAGACTGTTATTGGAAGAAAGCGTGAATGAAAATGACAGTAAACGTGGTTTCTATGGTGGTCGCAGTGACTCAACAGCAGGTAAGACTAGGGGTTGGGTTAATGAATTATTGGAGGACATGGCGTATTATTGATTTATGGAAAGATGAGTAAAAATATCACACCAATAGAAGGATGAAGTCTGGGTAGTAACAAGACTACTTCGTAATCAAGAATCACTATCTAGATGCGAAGGAATGCTCTTTCGAAGCATACACCCTTCGGGCCAACTTCAGCAGCATGATGTGCCGCCGTAAAAAGCGGGATTAATCTTTGCCATGCGCAGAGCACGCTTCCATAGGTCCCACGCTGGTTCTAGAAGCTTTGTGTTCATGTCAGTTGTGCGTGATCAATGTGAGCTTCAGGGGCTTAACAAGAGATCATGCTGCGCCAGAGTGGTATCACCGACATGCATACCAAATGCGGAATGCAGATCAGTGGTTCTTTCAACCACGTCGCAGGAGAGGGTTAGAGAGTTCAGGGCGTGCACGGACCGCATCGGGTTCTTGGGTGGGTCATACGAGCCGCTTAGCTGGGTCGCAATTTTTGTACCCTTTACTTAGGATATTTTGGCATATGATGCAGTTTAAACGAGGTGGATCACGAACGAGGTCGGCTTTCACAATGAATCTTAGCGATGTGCTTTCTCGAATTGGAAAGTGGCTTTGGTTCACAGCCTGAGGGTTCCAGCGGTACTGATGCAATGTCAAGCGCATCACTTCCTGTTTGAGTGTGTTGACCGTTTGCAAAACAAAGGGAGGATTGCAGTGAATGATAGCTATAAAGGCTGCACCTTGTCATAATGCTCTCTGGAATTCTGGACCGAAGGAAATCACTCGCAGTCTCCTCCCTGATACTATTTCAATATGGCTCCGTCGAAGCAGGGCATTGAGGCCCTTGGCTCTACTATCGCTGATCTCTCGAAGTCTCTCGCCAATCAGCTAGAGGCATTGAACCAGCCAGAACCATCATTCGCGATCGATTCTCCAGCATCCTTGCCCCAAAGTACAGAGATCCAAGGCACTCGGCTGAAGCTCTTGGAAACGCTGGAAACTCTTCACCACCTTGTTGTCGGCCCGAGTGACTTCTGGTTTCAGCAAAGCATGTTTGTAGGTATACAGAATAGCAAGCACCTTTGTCTTTCAGGATACTCCAAACATACTAACGCATCTTAGCTTAACCATGCACTCCTCGCCTTCGATGTGTTCAATAACTTCAACTTCTGGGACGCCGTCCCTCTCAATGGCTCAGCCAGCTACGCCGACATTGCAAAGTCAACCAACTTGCCCGAGCAAATTGTGCGACGAATCCTCAGATTAGCATTCACAATCTTCGTTTTCGCAGAGGAAGCCCCTGGCTCTGACCGAGTAGTGCACACGGCGGCTTCAGCGCACATTGTGCGTTCCCCGTTCGTTAAGTCATATCTCGAACATAATATGGAGGATGTCCGACCGGCTGCTACTGTGGGAGTAGATGCTTTGAAGAAGTGGTTTGTTGGTCAATCCGAGCCTCCCGAGGATGTTGCAGCCTGCGCAATTGCACTGGCGACATATGATGGCCATCAGATTGGTAGAGATCTGTGGTATCTTCTCGATAACTCTGAGCGACCCGGTCAGCCAAAAGGGTTCCGAGCGAAGCGCTTTGCAGAGGCGATGCAGGGGCTTCGAATGACGAGTGGAGTTATGACTGAGTCTGTCTTGAAGCAGTTCGACTGGGGTAGCTTGGATGAGGCAACCGTTGTTGATGTGAGTTTTCCCCTTCCCGCTACTCTCAAGTGGATAGATAATACTAGGGCCTTTATACTGATGTGACCTAGCTTGGAGGATCAGCTGGGCATATCAGCGTCATTCTTGCTGAAAATTATCCGAAACTCAATCTCGTTGTGCAGGACCTCGCCTCGGTGCAGTCTGCCTTCGACGAAAACGTTAACTCCACTCCCTATGGTTCGCGCATCAAATTCCAGACTCATGACTTCTTCCAACCCCAGGTTCTCCCCGCAGACGTGTTTCTGCTCAAGTCAGTTTTTCATGACTGGTCCGACAAATATGTGTCACAAATTGTTCGTAATCTGCTTGGCGTCCTAAAGCCAGGAAACCATTTGGTGGTTTTTGATTTCGTCATGCCGGAGGACTATGACGAGGAAATAGGAGCGAAGCCTCCATTGCCAGTAAGGAAGTTGGTTGCATCGATGGACATGCAGATGTTTGTTGGCTGCAACTCCAAGGAGCGGAAGGTGAAGGACTGGAGCGATGTTATTAAGCGAGCCGACAGCCGGTTTGAACTGAAAGAGGTTCATGTACCTCGAGGATCGCCCTTGGGACTTCTTGACTTTGTGTTTCAGGGGTAGTTTGTATTTGGAGGGGTCGATATGAAATGGGTTCCGGAACGTGTTCGATTGTTAGGTTAGTGGACGTTGTGAATAGAACCGAACGCTTCATTCGTTGAAATTCAAAATCCAGGTGCAAATGGAAGACCAAAGGCCAGCCAAGTTTTGTTTATCCACCTGAACTGGGAGCGTAGCGTAATCGCCCATAGGGTCATATGCTCAGTTTTTATTTTTGAAATACACCAAGGAAACCAAGCTTCGAGCCTATAGAGGTGTGATTGGTTCGTAGCCCGGATCTCACCGGCAAAATGGGACGCCTGAAACCAGCCCGAGGAGGCTTAAGCGCCAGCTCCTGCAGCTACGCCTTGATAACAAGATTACCACCTGATATTGCACATATATCCTATCCTGTATCCAGATATTCATTCTTTCCAGGAAGTAGATTGGGCGGACTGCGGGAAGCGGCTATGCGGATGAGGCCCTGCCCCAGCTTCTTCCTTAGACCCGCACAGTACCTAACTAGGAGAAGAGCATTTACAACAACAATGACATCGAAAAGAAAATATACCTGGACCTTCAGTGCGCCATCCACATCAACAGCAGCACCTGAGAGTGCGAACAAAAAGACCCATTGGGTGAGAGATGAAAGTCAAACCGAGGAAGTCAAGGGCTTTCGGAATCCATGGGAGAGTTCGCGCGACTTCACCTTCCCGGAAATATTCAAATCTATGATCAGGTACGCACTCTTTCTTTGGTTCAGCATTTGAGGGGCTGACAAAGTTTTGCAGACACAAGTTCTTCTCAGGAAACAGCCAGAAGCCTGACACCACTCTATCGACCGTACCTGTAACAAAGCCAACATTTCTCCCAGCTGCCACATGCCCCGACTTGCTGCGTGCAACATGGCTAGGTCACGCCTGCTACTTCGTTGAGTTCCCGAGTGGTCTACGCGTTCTCTTTGATCCCGTGTTCGAAGATCGTTGTTCGCCGTTTTCCTGGATGGGACACAAACGATTTACGCCTACACCGTGCGATATATCTGACATTCCGATCATTGATTGTGTAGGTCTTGACACCCACGTTCTGTTTGCGATGAATGCCTGACATATAGGTCGTGAAGGTTGTGATTAGCCACTCTCACTATGACCATCTTTCGTACCCGACAGTTCTTGAAATTCAGAAACATCACCCATCAGTCAAATTCTGCGTACCTAAGGGCCTTAAAACGTGGTTTGAGGACTGTGGCATAGATAATGTCATTGAGCTAGATTGGTGGGAGAATATCAATCTCGAGTTGACCACCACGACCGACGATGACACTTCAGACTCCACTTCAATCCCACCACCCAACGATACCTCAGCCACAGCAACAATCTCCTGTCTCCCCTGTCAACATACATCCGCGCGCACCCCCTTCGACAAAGCAACGACATTATGGGCCTCCTGGTCCGTTTCCTCTGGTGGAAAGTCGGTCTACTTCGCAGGTGACACAGGCTATCGCGTTGTTCCACGCCTCCCGAAGGATGTTGATGATTGGGTCCCGGAATACGCCGATCTACCAGTATGTCCAGCATTCAAGGAGATCGGAGAGTTCGTTGGACCGTTCGATCTTGGACTCATTCCGATCGGAGCATATAGACCACGACACGTCCTGAGCACTGTTCATTCAAATCCCTATGATTCTGTGGAAATACTCAAAGATACGAGATGTAAGAAAGCTATTGGGATCCATTGGGGGACTTGGGCTGTTGCCGAGGAGGATGTAATGGAACCGCCACGACTGTTGAAGGATGCGCTGGTCAAGAGCGGTCTACCAGAACAAGGAGTGTTTGATGTGTGTGGCATTGGTGAGAGTAGGGAGTTTTGAGATGAGAATATCCGGAGTGGTGTTGTACTTTTTGATTTTACCGTCTAAGCCTTATACATATATATTAGCCGCTTGATTATGACATTAAGAAGGATTGGAAGACTGAGTCCATCTTTGTGTCAGACGATTTAGGCAAGTGCTACCCGCAAATACTGGGATATATCATAATCAGCTTGTCGACCGCATGATATGGTGCAATATATGGTAACTCTTTATAAATGGGTTTATCTAAGCGGCGTTTGTACCGCTAATATTTATCCTTGGAGAGAATAACATAAGGATGCATCCAGTCTTCGGACTGGAGATCTGTAGTACAATTCATTTCTTTTGACTATTTTTGTATTCTATTTGATTTATCCTCGTTCCCTTCGCAAGTAAATGTTGCCTGCTCTTGCACTTAAGAAACTTCAAGATGCCCTTACCAACTCGGTACTGTAGCAAAGCTGATCACGCACGCTCGTGGACGTTGAACAGCGGAAGCAGCGGCACAACTTGTTGACGAATATATCGAGTAAGCACATTCCTAACCTTCCTGTCCGAGACTTAGGCCGCCCTTTCTAAGAGCCCGCCGTGCCACCCTGACCAACTGAAGGGAACGGCATTGCATTCCATCGCACTCGACGCAAATGCCTAGCAGGATCCTTGATGGCATCCCGCCCATGGAGCCACTTATAGTTGTCCAGTATGACAATTGACTGTTCGGGTAAGTCTGTCCCTGTCAGGTGTAACATGGACTGAGGACTTTTTGCCAGCTCATTCAACGCATCCTTCAGCTCCGCATATGCTGCCGCAGCCCTGGGGTTCATGGGCTCTATCAGGTCTTCCCGGAACCTCACTACCAGCGATTTATCCATCTTGTCCAATCCAAGGATGCTCCCCATTATGTGCTGTTTATCAGGATGTTTAGAAAATTCAGGAGGAATTTTGATTTTGAACTCCGGTTCGAATAGAGCTTTCTGTACAGCCGGGGACAGGTGATGTGCGAGCTTGGCAATCGTCATGAGGGACAGGGTACCACCACCGTAGCGATCAGGCTGCAGAACTTGAAGCGCAAAGTATTTCGGGGGTGCGCTCTCGTAGCTACAGTCAGTGTGCCACTGGAACTCATGCATGGTTTCTGATTGTGCGAGAGGAACTCGTGTCTGCAGGCCAGCAGAGCTAGGGCGAACATCCCAAAACCAGCCTCGGGATGCGCTGTGGCGTGTAGGAGGCCCATGTCCGTGATGAGCGCAAAGGTTAAGTATTATGCGCTCCAGGTATTGGCTGTCGTCATCGGGAAACTGGAGGCGTATCTTCAGAATGCCGCTGGTTCGAAGATGATGGTGGATGTCCCCGACATGGGAACGACGCTGGGAGTCGAGCATCTCACGAGCCGTCACGGAAGGTATGCTTGGCGTGACTTTGGCTGCGAATTCACGACATAGTGGACGATTTTCGGGAAGATGTCGCGTGGAGCCACACCTTCTAGCTCTCAAACTATCGACTGCAACTTTGATCCTTTTCATTGGGGCCAGATTCAGCTTCGTACGACACGAGAAGAGTCGAGAACAGTCAGATAAGAGTTAGAAGAGTGTCAGAAGAGAGTCTGAAGATGGTCGGAGGATGGTGAGAGGATGGTGAGAGGATGGTGAGAGGATGGTGAGGGGATGGTGAGAGGATGGTCAGAGAAGGGTCAGAGAAGGGTCAGAGAAGAGTTAGATATAGCGCACAAGAACGTATCGTGATATACCTCGCCTGGTATAAATCGATGTCAGCCTGTAGGAACTGAATCGCAAAGCCTTCCCGAGGTAGTGTCTGCGCTACGATATTGTGCCTCGAAATGGGTGACTGTGAATAATGCTGAAAGGGAAGGCTCGTGTTACATTCTACAAGAAGCAACTTCGAGAGTTAGTAGGGTCTGGTTGAGTGGCTGACACACTTTGCAGCCGACAACTGAGCACACCCCAGACTTGTTGAATAGTGTGATTATGGGAAGCAATATGTGGAGAAATTGTGTGTGTCCGATCGCAGTCATCAAGGCAAGGGTTGAGGCACCTGTCTGCCTTGGACCATTTCACGAGACCCTAGCGCTAATCAGCAGCAAGTCGGAACAGTGTATCTCTTGATAGATGTCCCTTTATCCGGAGAATGAACTGAGTGTTACCACGTATAGGTGGAGTCAGAATCATCAGTAAATTAAGGGCCAGGTGCCTCGCCGGAATGAAAAAGAGAAATTGGACTATACGTTTTCAGAACCATGCTGCCAAACATTACCGCCTGCTTCTACGCCAGCGATCTTTCCTGTTGAGGGAGGGAGGTTGGTTTGCCCGGGATGATGAAGAAGGATCCGAGGCCATTAGGGATGTTGTTTTGGGGGGTTAGGGTGTGATTCAGAGGATCGAGACAGGATAGAAGTAATGGTTTATTCAGTGGTTAACGGAAGAGGTTTTTTTGGCTTTCGAATGTATCAACTCGAGATAGGGTACCTCGTAACCGTTGAAATATATTTCATGCATCGCGAGGTAGTATTTCCCTGTTGCACTCGGTTGCGTCGACAATTGGTTTGCTGAAGATTCCAGCTACCCTATGAATTTCATAATCTAAGTTTCCGCATGGCACAGATTAAATTTGTACCTGTAAAAAAAAGGGGCGCCGAGGGGGAGGAACTAACGATGAGGCGTGTGGCTCAGCCTTACCCGCTCACTCCGGCGTACCTCTATTTCGCCAAAGACCTTAAATGGTTTTCCACTGCGACTGCAAAGCTCCGAGATATGACAGGTTCCATTAACTGTTATGGCTCATAGTCTCAAATAATGTGAGTAACTCTATTCTCTAAGTATGTCGCAAGTATATTTCCATATCCAATTCTAAATATAACCAAATTTCCTTGAAACTCCTAACTCTAATACCGCGCTAAGCAAGCCCGGATCAATTCCGACCGTCAGCTTGTGCTCTATGGAGACTCGTCTGAGACTCCGACTTTCCCGAATTTCTCAGGGCATCATGGTCATGATCTTCATCGCCAATTTTAGACCAGATTGTATCTGTGCCCTTCAGCCACGGCCTCATAGGATGTGAGCGCAATGCATCAGACTGCCCTGAGCGATGTGGTTGCTCCGAGTCCTCGTATGATGGCTCGCTGGGCTTGGAGCCAAAGCCGAGAGATTGCTTCACACTACGCGGCAGTCCTGATTCGATGATGAGTTTCGACAGGCAGGGTACACTGAGAATGAAGAAACCGCAGGTCATTTCTCCGCAGGCCCAGAATAGTAGTGGGCCGATGAGGTACATGGTATCGGTTGTGTTGGCGAAGGCGACGGTGTGGGAGAGGCGGAAGCATGCGGCGACGGAGGCGCTGGTAGAGGATGATGTTAGTTGGATTTCATTGTCAAGTAATGAATTTGAAAAACGCACAGTATACCGACGCCGAAAATGATTGAGACTCCGATTTTCTTTTGCCAGTTCATTTGGAGACGCCAGATAATTCGCTGTGGGAGAAAGAACATGGTGATATCTGAGGCGACCTGGACGCTGGCAGAGGTGAGCATCACGTCCGGAAGGGAGTAGCATTTGCTTGGAAGATAGAACTTCCAGATAGCTTCGTGGGGCCTGCATTGCATGTTTAATAATAGGATGCACAGCACACCCCATACACACTGCAGTGTTATCACGGAGACACATCCCCACCAGAAGGCGTTCCTTGTGCGGTTGAGAGGGACGAAGATCCTGCACCAATCTAGTAGGATTGCAGTCTTGATGAGAGGCAGGACGGCCGAGTAACAGCATCCGTAGATGAGAATCAACTGGTAAATTAATGGTCAACTGCAATGCTGTTTCCCTGCAGGCGGGTCAACGTACATAAAGAGGCCTTATGAGGTCTTTGTTGTGTAGATTCCACGTATGAACGTAATACCCTGGGGTGTAGATCAAGGCATACCCTGCGTAAGCTGTACCCCAATAGGCGCCCTAGATGGAACATTAGATTAAGTACAAGCTAGTAAAGGAACCAGTGTCAAGCAATACATATGCACCAATCATCAGCACTATTGGAACAGGGGATTTTGGTTAGTCTCGCTCTTTCAGTGAGCAATAGAAGGTGAAGTGTGAAAGCATCACTCACCTTCCTCGATACCAACCCTTCTATCCAACCATAATCGAGCAAAGATTCGCAAGAGAAAGCATATTGTGAGTACAACCGTACAGAAAGTCGTTACCACCCAAGCCAGCGTATTGCTATTCGGTGGGTTGTCAAAATTTGCGGTAACACCGGACGGAGCTGCCAGAGCTGGCTCATCGAGGAGAGTCGCCAGTGCTTCTGGTGACATCTCGCGCAAGACAGGTTGTCAACAATGGCACAACTTCAGACATGTTCGAAATCCGAGAGAAAACTTAATGGTTGTGGGGTGTCGAGGCTTCAAATGTCACTGCGCATAAATCCACGCATGAACTGTTTGATCGTCAGTGTGATAGGCCCAATTTTTGCGATTATGGACCGCTCAGGGGGTGCCGCAACTTGGTGCCTGCTGCTAATGCAAGGCGCACACACACCATTCGCCTGGGCCGTGGACTGATTTTGACGATGCCCTTTTTCGGGATGGTCGCGCTTAGCGCACTTGGTAGCTACGTTATTTTAGGGCGATATAGGATGTATGCTGTATACTGCATGAAGGCTGGAGGGTACGGAGTACGTTAGATTTTCACGAACGAGTAATCTAGCCCAGATGCCTTGCTCAGAGTTTGAATAAGATACTCAATGTTGCGTACCGGCTGGTCGTGTGAATGACTTGGCCTGTTGATCACGGCCTCTCAGTTTGCGGCACACGACGCCCTGTGGAGATGAAAGGATCACAGCTTGTCGCTTTCTGGAATAGTGACAGGAACGGCGTGACACTTAATCTAATAGAGTAGGTGCAGTGGGACACCAGGATAAGCGATGGGCTCGCCTTGCACCGGAACCCTGCCGCTGTGGAGCCGACTAAACTGCGACTAGAGCATAGACGACTAAGAAAAGAGTCCGCTGTCGTTGGCAGGACGCTAACATACCGGAAACGGGCCGTCGAGACCACAGACTCGCAGTAATAGTTTGACAGGTCCCAGGTGGCTTGGATCCTTTCTGACAGCCTCGTTTTTGACTGCGCAAGCCGTCCGAAATGACCCTGTTGAACCCCGACCTTCGCTAACTGGAAGGAGTGATGGCTGCATTGGCCCCTTGTCCCTGTCATATCTCTTCTGTTTTCTATTATGTGTAGATTAGCTTGATCAGGACTTTACCGATATTCATCCGCCACTCTGTGGCTTCGTCGAAAGTCTCCTTGTTCTATCCTAGTTAAACTCCCACGCCGTTGGGCCGTCTCCACTTTCCATGCAGCATGTCATTCCATAAATGCTCTCGGTCCCCGCGGGGTTCCCAGTCTTGTGCGACAGTCCATTCCCTGCCACCCCAACGAAGTCATGACCCTTAGTGAGTCTTGAGATATAAAACCCCAACTCTATGGCGCACAGGACTAACAGCACGGTTGTCTCAGACCGCACAGCACAGCCTCCCGTTCGGGATGAGTACCCACAGCGTGCGGACTTGCGCCGCATGATGAACCAAAACCCTCTCCCGACTCTGCCCCTTGATCTGATCGATCCGTCGGCCATGGTTGGTGACGAGGCAACAATCCAAGCACGCGGCGTGTTAGACACTTTGAATAATGCATTGGCCACTGGCGATATGAAAGCCTTGGAAGGTTGCTTCTATGCAGACCAAGCATACTGGAAGGATCAATTGGCTCTGACATGGCACCTGCGCACATTCAGCGCTCCTCGTACTATTGCTGCAAGTCTGCTGGAGACAGCAAATCTAAGGAATGTTTTCGGTGGTGTTGAGGTTGACGGAGCTGCCGTGTTTCTTCCGGCCACACCGGTTCTGGTAGGAGTCTATCTGGTTCACTTATATGCGACAAGCACTGACCATGTATCTCCTCGTTCAGCAATTCATCGATTGTCCGCTCGTTTTTAAGACACAATCGCCTTCGGGTCTCTGTCGCGGTAAGATGTTGCTACTGCCTGTTGTAAATGACGAGCAAATGATCGCCTGGAAGATCTGGATCTTGAGCACTAGACTCGAGAGCTTGGATGTGCAACCAGAGGATGAAAACCTACTACAGCTCCCCGGGAGGAAACTGAATGAATCAATGGATTTCGAAACCGATGTTTTTATTATCGGTGCAGGAAATGCGTAAGACTCGGTTCCTGGCAGCTTTTTGAATATTCGCTAAACATATTTAGCGGAGTCGCTCTCTCCGCACGTCTGAAGGCGCTGGGAGTTGAGAGCGTTATAGTCGACCGCAACCCTTGCCCTGGTGACAATTGGGCCCTTCGATATGACTGCATGCAGTTCCACATCCCCACAGCATTCTGTGAGCTTCCGTATATGTGTTAGTCATCTCCGATCACTTCTCCTTACTTGATTCATATACAAGAGCAATGCGTTAACCCAAGCAGGCTATGACAAAGAGCTTCAGACTCCTCACCTCCTTACGCGCCAGGACCTGGCTTCACAGGTCCGTCGTTATGTGGAGACATTTAGTTTGAATACTATCCACTCCGTCAAAGTCCTGTCGACAGAGTACGATGAGGTGGCTAAAAAGTGGCATGTTACTTTTGCGTCACCTGCTGGTCAGCGCAGGGCTACTTCAAAGCACCTCGTCATGGCAACGGGCATTGGGTCTCAAAAGCCTAACATGCCACAAATCGCAGAGCCTAAACTGTACAAGGGCATCAATGTTCACTCGGCCGAGTACAAGAATGCCAAGCTACTGCGAGAGCAGGGAGCAAAGGTATGTCTGTTTCAAAAATCCCGAAGAGACTCCCAAGCGACGCTAACCGTACAAGTCTGTAATGGTTATTGGCTCTGCAAATACAGCATTCGATGTACTTTCCGACTGCCACAAAGCGGGTCTTGATGCGACAATGGTCGTTAGGTCCCCTACTTATATTGTGCCGCTCGAGTATGTCTGTGATAAGAACAGTCTCGGTGCGTATGATGGTGGCGTCGATGCGGCCGATAAACTTATACTATCGCTGCCTGCAGTCGTGGACGGACAGCTAGCCCGTGGTTTGTTTGCCATGCTCGCTGCGAACGAACCGCAGCGATACGCTGCACTTGAAGCAGCTGGCTTCCCCGTCCTAGATAGCCGAAACCCAGACTGCGCATTGATGCATAATCTGCTCGAGCGTGCCGGCGGACATTATGTGGATGTCGGTGGCACAAAACTGATCGAGGAGAGAAGGGTTAACGTAAAAGCGGGGGTCGAACCTGTGGCTTATACGAAATCAGGTCTTCGGTTCTCCGACGGTAGTTGTATTGATGCGGATGCTATTGTTTGGTGTACTGGTTTCTCCGATTCCAACATTGTAACAACAGCCACGGAGATTCTTGGTGGGGAGTCGAGCACCAATGAGTCGGCTGGTGAAGCTGAACCTCCTGGGAGCGAGAAACGGATCCTCGGACCTCGAGACATTGCCTCGCGCTTGGATGCGACCTGGGGTCTTGATGATGAGGGAGAAATCCGTGGTATGTGGAAGCGACACTTGAATCTTGACAACATCTGGATTATGGGAGGTTACACGCAGCAGCACCGATGGCATTCACGCACTCTCGCGCTGCAGATCAAAGCAGCCTTGGAAGGACTTCTTCCACCAGCTTATCGGCATACCCCCACGCTGGAACCTGAGGGAAACACGAAGGCCTCCTTGTGACTTGTTGCCAACTTCATTCAAATAGTAATGGAAATCCTTTCCCAATGCTCTGATATTAAAGCGATGTTCACGTCTTTCGAGACATACATATATTCGCTTCATTCTATTTATCCTATATTCATGACTAAATTCTCTCTATGCTGTAGGTACTCTAAAGTCGAGAGACTGAGATGTTGCTGTCTTTATCCAAAGCCACTGCCGACATACTCAATGCAAGAGCCTTTATTACACCATATTTCTAGGTTTTATGCAAACCCAGGTCCACTAGTGCACGTATTGAACTACTCTTTATCCTGGTACTGATTGGGCGTCTAAGGATTCACTTCCCTGTCTTCTCAATTTTACCCGAGCACTGAGTTATGCGCGCCATATTTGTCATCCATACATGGCCCATCGGCTACGCGCTGAACGTCCATATCCTTTCGTTCCTGATGCTGTCTCCTTCCTTGTTCATACCTCGTGTTTACAACGCATCCATCCCGTCACTTAAGCCATAGAAGCATAGCCCGCGAAAATGCTTTGTTACGACTATTCCCTTCAGACATTTGAGGAACCGGAAGTCACACTTCCATTAGGTATCTACAGTAGGCAATATTCCAGCATATAGTAGGACCAATGAGCTTATTTACCGAGACCTAGCACTAAGTAGTACCTAGCTTGAGCCCCCTCACCAGCCGCCAAAAATAAATCTAGTCTACCTTGGCTCCAGTAACTCGGCCCTGCTTCTTCGCCGAGGGAATTTGGAGATCTTACCTTCTGCGAGATATAGGATGTGTTTCTATTTCCTTACCGTAACTCAAGAGAAGCATTGCTGTGGGGCCGATGCATGTCCAGTGAGTGAGGACCGAGTGCGGGGAAGATGTACAGCAGGGCAGGTAAGGAGTAGCGGGTGTGTTAAATGATAGGCCTCGAGCTCTTACCCACCGCAGCGTTCTCGCGTCTATAAATTGGAGTGTAGTCGAACAATCAAATCAGGGCTTTAAGTTTAGCGCTGCTGCAACGCCTGGCAAGGTATCTTACAGCTCAGCCGCACGCAACTAGACGGGTAAGTGCAACATTATCAGTCCAATGCTGTTTACTTTTACTCCTGTCAGCCGCAGCTTGGAATGAGTGGAACTGTGCGTCTGCTCAACCAATCTGGACTGCTTTGGGGCCACCCATTTCTTCTCATACTAGCTATCACATTGTCTAGGCCTGTCCATGCATCTCTAGTTCGAACAATGCTGTCTTAATAACAACCTCCAGTCAAGCGCGCTCGCGCTGGATCATCAGCTATGTGAACCTATCAATTGGAAGTCACTTAACCTACGTGTGAATTATGATTAGAAGAGCAGGGGTTATTGATACATCCAGATTTCTGCTCCATCCAGAATCGTTATTGTAGCGCTTGATTTCAGGGAGTAGGAGATCGAGACCTCAATCCCATAGATGGACTAACGACCCTGGTGTCACTTATTGGATATCATGCCATGATAGTTGTTACAAGGTTTCTATGAATAGTCGCAGTGTTGCTCATTGTGCACCTCGGCCTCTGGACCAGAAACGAGATGCGTATGCGTTTGGCATCTCTCTCAGCACCCTGAGCGCTTCGGGGCATGTCATAGATGCAGCCATCAGGTATTTAAGGTGATGTTGGCCTCGCGAATATATACTTCTCGTCCATAATTCGAAAGAAAATCTTCTCAACCTCAATATCTTCTACTATACTTTACGCATAGAGATCAGTCCTACTCTTGTTCTCCAATCGCGTTTTTGGTCTGGCTTCATAGATCTACTTCCCCGTACAGATCTGACACCCCTTCTATAACTTGGGTTAATAGAACGAAGTTGTCAGTGTTACTATCTGTCAGTGTTCTCTTCCTTTACATTCTGTTTGTTTCGGCGAGACCTCATGTCCATCACTCCTTTTCATTCAGCATGTCTGTCTCCCAGTCATAGAGAAAAGCCCCGTTATGCACAGAAGGCCCCATCCTAACTAACACCCCCAAGACCCAAACATCAGCCATGCCCTTATTCAAGCGCCGTGACAGTAGCAGCAGCAGCAGCAGCGCTCATAGCGGCAAGTCTGTCAGCAGAGGCCGAACCCGTCGAGCTGACTCCGACTGCATTTACTGCAATGGTGCCGGTCTCCGCTGGAGATGGATTAACTGCCCGGATTGCAGAGGCTCACGCCGAAACCCAGCATACCCCGACCTTGTGTGCTCTGATTGTCGTGGAAGAGGGAAAGTCAGGAATGGACAGGAGCGTTGTGAATGTCTCCAGTGGTGAACATGTTATATTGGCTTTGCGAGAGTCGTTGAACGCCCTAGTAGTGGTCTCTGTATACCTGATTTACTTATGATTGATTGTTGATTATCTGGCTTAACCGTCTTTGGGTCTGTTTGTTTAGTATGATGTACCTTTGTGATATTCTGCTTATTACTCTACTATATAGCATGTTCCTATTTTCAGTTGTACGCTACCTACCATCCATTGCCATCTGAATAATGCGCACTATGCAGCAGTATTAGCTACACCCGTGGACGCAAAGAATCGCATCACTGCTTCATAATTGGATTTTCATCCATTCGGCAGATGTATCTCTAGAAGTACAACCATTGCCATCAATCTGAGCATAATTAGATAGGGAACAACTCATGCTCCCTAATTGGCTGTAGGAAATCAGAAACAGCATAAACCGAAGATCGCTACAAGGAAAATAAAAGAAAGTAAACGAATCAGAAAGAGGAAAAAAAGAAGAAGCTAGTTGCATTGATCCACATATGTACACGGCATAATTATTTCCCCATTGCTTTAGCCCGGTTCCCTTCTTCCTGTGCCGGGTCGACTTCGTGTCCCTCTTTGGGCTCTTCCCTCTCCGTCTCCCTTTCTTTTGCCCTCTTCTCCATTTGCTCCAGGAAGCTTGCCCAAAACCTTGGTTTCAGCTTTCTTTCCAGCCACTCTTGATCCTCCGGATGCTCCGCCATATAGTCAAGCTCACGTTTCGACAAAAACTGTGCTTTCCGTAGCCTCCGCCGCACTATATCCCGCATCGGCGGTATCTCACCACGGTCGGAAGGGCCTGGTGTAAACGGTACCTCCTTCAACTCGTCTTGAATATCTTTGCTCTGGAGAAGATCTGGCTTGGGTATGCTGCGATAGTGTTTCGTTAATCCACTGCTGATGAATGTTTTCCACAAGTAGGGAGAAGAAACATACAATTTCTCTCCATCCCACGTAAAACACTGGATTGGAACCTCCTCATCATTACCGTTCGGAGCAGTGCCATAGTCTAATAGGAAAAAGCAGACCCGGTTGTTGTAGCCAAACTCGTCGCCGTAGGAGTACCATCGTTGCAGGCCTGGTTCATATGGAAAATCCCAAACATGTTTGCAGGTTCGGTCGAGCATGGAGAGTAGCTTGTCACCGTATGGCTCACCATTGGCGATAAGATTGTCCGACGGAACGAGGTGAGTTAGTGTTTGCACAAGGACGCGCATGGGAGAGGGCGTAAGCTCTATGGGCGGATCGTCGAGGTCCATGGTTGGGTTTCAGTAGGGATAGGAAGAAATAGGGTATGAAGAGGTAGAATGAAAAGGGCGAATTCCTAATATAACTACAAATGTAGCAGATAATCACCGGCTTTTTGTTCTACAGCTGGGTGGGGGTGAGGTGATCATGATAATGCCCGGCGCTTAGAGATCTGTAAACTAATGCAAGCGGGGTTGGGAGGGTACAGTTGCCGAGACTGAGCATGCTACTACTATATTTATTCTTGGAAACTCGCTTTTGGATTACAGCCCACCCAGACCGCTCCACCGACCGCCCCAAGCGGCAGAACTCGATCGACCTCGCAAAGAAAAGTGCGGGTATAAGCGGATACCAGCGGATACATGTTTATACAGCTCCGGAAAAGAGACTGAAGATTCTGTTGGTTTTCGTACCGCCTTTGAGGGGACTGGCAGAATGGGTGGCTACATGGTCTCTACCTGGGTCTACCAGCCTATTTTACTCTGCTGTTGTGCTTCTCATCCATACGGATGCTTATTGATGCTGTTACCTCTGCTGTGGACTGCGTTACTAGTTTTCTTCGGCAAAGTCGTGTCTTTGTGAGCACAGCTGGGGGATTTCTGCTTGGATTGCATGTTTCTTCAAATTGTGTGAGGGTGAGGATAAGCAAAATATCATGTTTCAATTCATGTAATACTATGCTGAATTAAGAGGCTCATGAAGAGATACACGCTAATGCTTCTGACCAGGCAAGTGCTGGTGTACATCAAGCTTCCCAAAATAAATGTCCTACAGACGCCTTCTAAAACATCATAATAACCGAAGAAACCGCACCGCTTTGCCCTTCATAATCTGAGGTTTGGTGTACGACGGAGCTTCAGGCTCAGTGCTCGAAGCAGGTACTTTTGCAACACTACGGCTGGTACCCGTAGTAAGGAGCTCACACAATTCATGTCTCGGAAGCTCCTGGAATCGAAGTCCGGTGCATCCTCCTACAATCTGTCCATCGGACAAGAGATACACCTCGCCAATGTGTAATCCGCTTTCTGTCTCGGCCTCTTGCATGTGCACGTAGCTGGTATACTCCCGATCAGGTGACAGGTCAGCTGGGGCCCAGAGCTTCCACCAGCCTGTGCAGATGTATGATGTGTCCTCTGGAGCGTTGTCGTGTCCGTTGAGAGCGAAGCTGCCTAGTTGGATGAACGAGTCCATCCAGTACGGGCTGATGGTGAAGGTCTCACCGGTCGTGGGTCTGGGAAACTTGATTGTGGCCGTTGCTTCTCGGATTTCTTCGTGCATAGTGATTTCCCGGATGCATCGGTAGCAGGGACCGTACACAATGGGTTGAGAGAAGAGTCTATAAATCATGTTGTTGCGAAGATGATGAGCCGAGCCGGTGCGGGATGCTCGTTGCAGTGTATCACATTTGGCCTGAGTGTGATGGCTTCTGTCCTTCAAGCCTTGCTTTGTAGAATCGCTCGAGTTGAAGTAGACAGTACATCGGGCATGTCGTTGCTCGTCTGGGCTGGATGGGGTCCGCGTGGTACACACGACTTCCACGCAGTTGCTTCCCTTGCAGCGTTCGGCGTGGACCTTGAGAACAGGAAAGGGTTGATCCTGTCGCACGACGAGTGGCTGAATAATTTCCATGTTGGACACATTCATGGAAGGTACGTCGGTAACTGCTTCCATTGCTTTGAACGTGTAAGAGGCAGCTGTCAAAGCCATATCCGTGTAGACCGAGCTTGGACAGACGCCCTGGCTCAGCATGCTCTGGCCTTTGAGAGCAGAAATTAAGGTTTGTTGCGAGAGATCCGATGAAAATGTTACCACAGATCTGTTCTCGTCATGCACTTCTTTCTCTATATTGTGCAGGGTACTGCTAGAGAAAGTTTGCACCCTACTGGGTGCAATAGGTCTGCCTCCTGTCTTGAGTGCACCATTCTTCTGATATGAGATGCCAAAGTCCTTTAAATCGAAGGAATATGTGGGTAGGTCGAGAGGCTGGAGGTTGTTGGCATAGTCTGAGTGGAAAGCTCCCCAATTCATGTCTGATCCGATTGTATAAAGTTGAGTCAGTGCCTGTGAGATGACTTCCCAGTCATCCCGCTTAGGACTGAGGGAGAATAGCATGTGTTGCCCCGCGATCGATAGCTGGGATAGAGCCATGTCAGTGCAGACCGGAGTAGGGCCGATTTCAAGCCAGAGTCCTTTCCCTTTCTCGGTAAGTTTCATTTCGCAGGTTCGGACTGCCTCCTGGAACTTGACCGGCTCTCGGCTTTGACTTGCAAGGTAACCTGGTCCGAATATTCCAGCATCCTCAATAGCAGAACCCGTGAGTGTGGAAATAACTGGCATCCGTGGGGTATTGAACTGAATGGATGAGCACAGCTGACGGTACTCATCCAGTGTAGAGTCCATCTGTGGTGAGTGGAATCCGAATGGCACAGGGAGGAGTCGGGTGGGTGTCCCCGCCAGGTGGTCCTTGAGCAGGCAGAGCTGGTCATGCTCCCCGCTCACGACCGTTGAAGAGGGACCATTGAGACAGGATATTGTGCAACCAGCAAACTCTTCATATTGTAGCAGTATGTCTCGAATGGTTTTGGGATCGGATCCGATGGTAAGCATGCCGTGTGCGTCCCGAGCGCAGTCGCGCTGGATAAGCTGTGCTCTCGCTCCAACCAGATATAACGTGTCGGAGAGAGAGAGAACGCCTGCTACGCACAATGCTGCGTACTCACCCAAGCTATGTCCCATAACCATATCGGGTGTAATGCCCCAGGCCTGCCATGCATCAGCCAGTGCCAGTTCCAACGAGACCAGAGCGAGCTGGCTCTGGACGGGTGTCATGTCGCCTAGATCGAGATCGTTCCGTTCAATGAGATCTACAAACGGTCCGTATCCAAGCTGAGCGCAGATAGTGTTACATTCAAGCAGTCGTCGTTTGAAGGCAGGACATGTCCTGAAGAGCTGTCGCCCCATCGCCGGATATTGTCCCTCTTGACCAGTGAAAACAAATACCCGGCTTGGCGGATTGCCAACAAGATCCAGAGGCAGGGGGTCGGCGAGCTCCTTCTGCAGCATCTCCTTGAGCTGCTGGACATGACTCACTGAATATGCGCGACGGTACGCATAATGCACGCGTCGGGCAGTTGTCGTATATGCTACATCGGCCAGTCGCGCCTCGGGCTGTGCCTGCAAAAACTGTAGAAGTCGCTCTTGATTGCCTCTCAGGGACTTCACCGTCTGTCCGGACAGCGCCACTATATGGTTGTCGCGTTGGTCAGAGCCCTCATGAGGGATATCACAGGGATAGCTTTGAATAATTAATGCCTTATTGTCTCCCTGAAGTGATGCTTCGTTAGTTGATCACTCAAGCCAGTCGTTATAGTTGACTTACCGTGGCAATGGAGTCATTGACCAAAATGCGCTGCGTATTACCCCCCCGACGAGAGTGCAGGAACACCACTCCCGATTGAGGAACTTCAACTTTGCGATTGGCCAACTGTCGATTCGAAGCTGACTTGTTACCGAAATAAGACGGGATGAACCCCCATTCAAGCATGAGGACAGATTTGAGCACAGAAAGAATGCCAGTGGCCTGTTCCATGCCAGAAGTCAGCTGAACCCTGGTAAGGTCTGTAGAGAATTGCATCAGGACTTACTGCTCCTACATTGCCGACATTTTGCTTGACAGAGCCAATGCGCCTAGGCTCACTTCCTTTAGGCGTAAATGACTGGAGATTCACGATCGATTCAACTTGGTCCAGATTTTGCTCGTCATCGGCTCCAGCCACTTCTACATAGTCTAAATCCTCCGGATCAAGACGGGCTCGTCGCAGGACATCTTTCAATAGCCGTTGCTGACTCAACACGTTTGCATTAGGGTTGGAGCGGGGATGGCCTGTATGTCTAGAGGCTACAGCCGTGATAACACCCCGAATGCGATCATTGCCCTTGAGCGCGTCTGGCAGCCGTTTAAGTACAACCACACCCACTCCTTCCGAGCGAAAGTGCCCGTCCTCATTGGAGTTGTACGCCCGCTCGGACAAGCGATTACTGCCACCAACGACCGCAATGTCACACTCACCCCGACGTAGAGCATGGTACGCCATCTCCATAGGGGCTGTGCTCGAAGAAGAGGTTGTGTCAATGGTATATGAAGGGCCATCCCACATGAAGTAATCATTTAATCCACTAGCTCCCACAGTATCGCGAAGGTAGTGTGGCTCGTCTGTGGCCTGTCCAATGAAAGTACCCACGCGCCGGGAGTTGCCGCTATGAGGAGTATACCCGGCACTTTCAAGTGCCTCGTACGTAGCGAGGAGTAGCAGTCGCTTGCATGGGTTAATCTCCTTAGCCTCATCGGGAGACACGTTGAACAGGTTGGTGTCAAATAGCCCAGCCTGGTCGAGGAAGCAGCCCTGTACCACTTGACTGCTGTCCATGACACTCTTGGAACTGTTCACACCAGGTTTGACATCAATACGGTCTGCAGGTGCCTGGAGTAGTGTCAGCATAGAGAATTGCACCATCTCAGTAGATTAACTCACCCTTTTACAGATGCTCTGACCGTTCTCTAGTATCTTCCACAGATCATCCGGCGAGCCGACATCCGGAAGCCTGCATGACATTCCAACAATGACGACAGCGTTATCGTCAGCATTTAAGTACTCACCCAGGAAGGATTCGTCTATCAGTGAACCGCGCTGGTCGCTCGGTGCAACAGCCACCGTAGCATTGGATGTTCTCAGACCCGGAGGCAGTCCCCTCATCATCCTACTCCAGGAAACCCTATTTTGGAGCAGATCAACCATCATGAAATGCAGCAATCCGCGCAAGGAGGCAGTGGCATATGGCATGCCCGAATTCGGGGATACCACCGTAACGTTTCGCCGGACTCGAAGGTCTGGAACCTTCAAAGGCCCTAGAATATCTTCCCAGCTAGGTCTACTAAGATGGGGCGCATGGTATGCGGCGGCGATTGGCAGTTCCGACTTTGGAAGGTTGCTAATTGAGGAATGGCGCATAAGGAGGGAGAGTGTGGATGGAGGGCCACTGATCGTCACAGATGTATCAAGCTCGGAGCTTATATACGCCTGTTTATGTTCCGGAAGCTCCTTCACTGGGTCAATTATATATTGAGCAATGCTGTAGGTGAAGTTGACGTACATGTTCCTCATTAAAGAAAGAAATCACCCTCTCCAGCTCACCAGCCGAGGCCCGCTTCACTGAGACTGCCCAACTCTGGGTTGTAGCCTCAATGTAGCGAGATCGGCGGTCCACCTGGATTGCTAGGCGCAACGATAACACAACCATGAGCAAGGACAGAGGGAGCAACTCTGCTGGTGATGGGACAGTGGCCGCCAGAGCTGCCGGGAACAACCCAGTGCAGAGACCAACAATGTGCAACCTGGCGGTTTGGCCCCACAGGAGAGTTGGGTCCTCTTCTAGGTGTCTGTTTGATGTTAGCTATGAGGAGACATACTCCGCACTGATCAGTTACCCCTTGGTGCACTCACAGAATCAGACCCCCAAGCTGCGCTACGCAGAGCAGCACGGTGGATACAACGACATCATAATCCGTTCGCTGAGCGTATGCCTCAGCCATGGTATCCATTGAATCAAAGTCATCAATATTAGTGCTCTCAGTAGTCGATACATCAGATGACCGTGAGCGGACGAGACGGTCGACGGCAGTCAGGAAGTCGCGTAGACGATTGTATTGGGTTGCCTTCGCATATAACTCTTTGATACGGGTGCATGAATCACTGGTTTGGTCACCGAAGCAGAGGAGTCGTGGGTGGGCCATTTTTTGCACATCAGAGAGGGCAATGGTAAAACAATGCTGTGTGAAGGGATGTAAGAAGAGCTGAAGAGAGACTCAATACAAGATCATTAGACGCATGTGTCCAAAAATTGGCTGCGGGGCAATGCCTGTTCTATATATCTCCATTCAGTTGAACAGCTGTCTGCTGGCTGCAGATATGGCTACCGCCATTTTCAACTCTAATATTGGCAATGCAGAGGTTCTGCCGCCAGCGCATATGGTAGAAGAATAAGGTGCGCGAGCAGCCCTGTGCATTCAAGAGGTCCATGTGGGATCAACAAGCCTTCAGGTCACTGCACGGTAGATCGTTGGGGTTCATGCAAGTGGGCAGTCAGTCCCTTGGAGAGAGCGTATATTTTTCTGACTAGACAATATCCCAACGCTCGGGCCTGGATAGGTCACAGATCGACATATTGGGCGGTCGGACAATTTTGACGGTTACGTAGTTTGTCGGTCTCGAACAGACAGTACGTGGTGATCACCCGAAAGTAAATCTTGTCTTTATTCAAACTATCTTGTCCAGCGGTCTTCCTTTTCTTCTAAGTATCCGCCCGTCCGCGCAACCCAATCGATTCCACATGGAAAGCGCCCTCTATGCTTCTACACCCTTTCCTCGCCATAACAACTAGCAGTTGGGTCTACATTCGGAAGATGCCGTACGATAATTTTCGCGACCTGTAGATGCACAAGAAGCCAATCTGTCGTAGTTCCGAAAACCAGTTTCAAAAGCACTAGTGTTGAAGCCATTTTGATCGGCTCTATCAATTGTACTAAATCAAACGGAAATCATTTCCTTCCATTCGGCCATGTGCTACATCATCAGCTTCTCCCGGAGACTGACTGTGCATATTTGCTGGAAAACTGAAATGATCCGAGCTGCCTTTTTTCTTTCTCCCTAAGATGAAACTTTATGTGGACGGGTCGAACGGTGGCGCAGTTGAAACTCTCGGCTGAACACAGCTCATTTGTGGAGAGCTATGCCTTGATATGATACTATCACCAATAGTCCAGTCGGCAAGTGGTAAATCCTGACTTACAGTAAATCAATCCAGCCTCTGATCAACGCATTTTTGCTTTGCTGGCTACCGACAATTGAGCCTACTAAACTGAGCTAGTAACCTTAAGTGGCGTCAAAATTCCACCCACCAAAGCGCGGATGTAAGGACTTGATCCAAGTTTCATCACTATCGGACGCATTTCCTATTATCTCAAATCAGCGATTTGAACCGCGACGTTCAAGGTGATCTACCGATTTACTTAATCTTCGAGATAAGCGATCTTGTCGTGTCAACAGTAGGGTAATGCTTGGTCATGCTTTCCATGGTGGCACCAGGTAGTAAATTAGGCCGTGTCCGATAGCGGCAGCAAGAGGACCAACCTGCATGGCTAACTCAATATTCTTTCATAATAGACGCTCTCCAATTGCGCACTCACCCAGTGAATCCAATGGTACCCGGGAAAGGATGATCCCACATATACACCAAAGCATCTCGCCGGATTTAGTGCTGTACAAGCGGATTAGCTTCAGGATACTTCAATAGCTCAAGGTACTGTGAAGTCAATATGAGAAATCATACATGCACCCCCATAGCCCTCCCGCGTATACGAGGATCCCAAGCTCACGACCCCCAACACCATTCCCACTAGCCATGGGGACAACGCAGCCCCGTACACTCTAACTTGTCTGGGATCTAACCCAACACCGAATGACAGGAAGATCAGTATGAGGCAACAGATGAACTCCAGCACAAAAGCTTCTCGGACCGGCACTAGGGCGGTATCTACTACACACCCACCGACAGAATACAGTCCGGATCCGAACGCTGACTGTAGTATCCACCCGGCCAGAGCACCGCCGAGGATTTGGCCGGCGAGGTAGAGAACCATACGTGGCAAGGAGATAAGCCGCGCAAAAAAAGTGGCTAGCGTTATGGTCGGATTGAGATGGCTTCCACTGACGGCCGAGAAGGAGAAGATGAACAGGGTCAGTAGTGCCCAATTGGTAAAGGCACCGACAAGAGGACCGAGGAAGGCTGTTGTAGCAAAGATCCCAGCTGGTGTGGTGGGAGTCGGGGGAGCTACATTAGCGGGAGTAGCTGCCGACCACGCAGTAATGAAGGCTAGCATCATGGTTCCTGAGTCCATCATGGAGGGTTATCATCTTTCCCTACAGGTTGGATATCTGTCCGGGAGGGTGTTACCAACGCATTCCACCACAGCAAAACGCCAGAGGTTAAGGTCGGTGAAACCGCGCACATTAAAGGCATCTCGCGCACTCATCAACGGAGCAGCATCTGGCACTTTACGCAGATATTCGGCATTATCCGGATCGGCGCGATCGAGGACAATGCCCTGATTGCCGCCTATGCGGCCGACGAACGGCGGCACATGGGGCTTGCTTGATAGGTGTTGGACGTTGGCGCTAGGGTCAATGTCATTCTGGGAACGAAATAGTAGGCCTGCCATTGTCAATTGAGAATTTCACCATTCTTGCTGAGTTCGTGGGCTTCGGCCACGGAGTTGTCACTGCTGTGAATATATTGTAACTAAGGCGTTGCTTGGGTCAATTACATCACCGAGTCTGCGGCACACCCGGAGCCATGGTACGCACACCCGCCGAGAATCTCCGCGATCTCGTAACCCTGAATAATCTCGTAGTAAGTGCTTCAGTTTCAGAGCAGATTTTTTAGTGGGACAAATTCAGTGGCGATCAGTTGCTCCATGTTCCTGGTCAATCTGCAGCTGCTCATCGCTGCGCCTCCCCCGCCTCGGGATGAGCGATCTCGATCCGTCTCCGATCTCCAACCAATGCTTCAATAAAGTTAAAGCTGCATCTCGACAAGGTCACCTGGTCGGCAGGAACCGACAGCTTCATCTGATTAGCCTGATTGTCATAGTGTTGACCTCAAGCTCCATCTTGGGTTGTCCTTCTCCCCGGACTTCTAATGCTGAGGAATGATGAGCTAATCGGACGCACCGATCTGGCATTTGGTCCAGGCATCGCCTAGACAAGGTCTGTCTGTTACACAAAATATCGATGATGGGTGGTGACGTCGAAGAGGCGATTAGCTTTCCTACCAGCTTTCCCGATTCAACATTTATAGGCCGACACTGTCCGTCGCAAAATGAAGCGCGAACATTCTAGCTTCGATTATAGATACTTCAATTTCATCAATTCTTTCTGACATACCTCAATAAGTGCCATTGATACCCACCATGCCGGCCAAGTACACCCGACTTGACATTGACAAATGCATATTCCTCTTCGTGGACCACCAGGTATTTTGCCCTCTCAAAGTATGATTGTACCCGTACTGAACTCTTTCCAGTCAGGTCTCATCAATCTCGTCCGCGACTTCCAACAACATGAATTCCAGAGGAATGTAATGGCCCTTGCCAAAGTCGCTCAGTACTACAAGTCTCCCAGTGTGTTGACCACCTCGTTCGACACCGGTCCCAATGGACCCATTGTCAAGGAGATCACCGACTACCTCCCGGATGCGCCCCTGATCCGCCGTCCTGGACAGATTAATGCAATGGACAATGATGACTTTGTGAATGAGATCAAAAAGACCGGCCGAAAGCAGATTGTGATCAGGTTAGTCCAGCAGTTACTACACTACGCACACCGCTATCCACACGTGTATACCATCAAGCAAGTGCCACGCAAGAGCTAACCCGCATAGTGGCGTCCTGACTGAAATCTGCGTGGCGTTCCCCGCCCTCAGCCTCATCGAGCAAGGCTACGATGTGTTCGTGGTTACCGATGCCTCGGGCACATTTGCAGAACATACGCGCGAGGCAGCGCACAAGCGCATGGTAGCAGCAGGTTGTCAGCTGCTGAACTGGGCGGCTGTTGCCGGGGAGCTTCACCGCGATTGGCGGCGCGATATCGAGGGCTTTGGAGCTATCTGGACCGAGCATATTCCCGGATATTGGTGCGTGATGCAGAGTTACCAAGCAGCTCAGCAGGGCAAGGAGTAATCTTGACGTTTCCTATTCTACTTACGCAATGTTATGATGAAACTGGATGTATCTACCACTGCTTGATAGCCTCACTTAATTCCATACTGGTTTTCAGTTTATGCACCTAGCTGCATGCAGCCTTGCGAAGCACGAGTTGCCTTTCGGCTCACCTTGAATTCTTGCGCACGGCCCTCTTTGGTCCTCACGCCATTCATGTAGCTTAACGGTTAGCAACGTCCACTAGACCATGGAGGCTATGTATATGCGAAGCCATCTCCACCGCAACGCAGCCCAGCAACTAGTAACCCTGCAGTTAGCTAGTTCTTGCTTCATACTTTATGAGCGGAGCCTTACCCTCCATTGTTCTTTTGCAACTGCAATTATTCTTAAGCTTCAAATGGACCCCCGCTCCACCGACACCCTGCAGATATTCAAACGCATCTGGCCCCAACTATTCCCCGCCAAGCCCACCATCGCTGCAGACAATCTGCATCCCCATGCTGGCCGCGTCGTAATCATTACCGGTGATACCTCCACTCTGGGTCTGGGTCTGGGTCTGGCGCACGTTTTGCATCGTGCCGGATAATTCGACAACAACTCCGCCAGGCGAACTCATCTACACTCCCCCTTTCCTGTCCACCTCACCGAGCTTCCCGTCATCCCTATCTTCGGAAAAGCATCCCTAGCCCGCTCAAACAGACTAGACTTCCTCCTTAATAGCCCCGCTGTAGCATGTCTCATTCCAACTAAAACTACCACGCAAGGCCACGAACCCCATTTCAGCATCAACTGCGCTGCACGCTCCCTCCTCGCCTCTCTCCTTTTCCCAATTCTCACCTCTACAGCTTAAACTCCATTTACTACATCCAACTCCGTCAGCGTAATTTTCACCTCCAGCACAGTCGTGGATTTCCTCGCTCGGACGGGCGGTGACCCGTCTTCGGCCCTCACTTCCTCCCCGGATCCCAAATCAGACACGAATACGAACTACACCATCAGCAAAACAGGCAACTGGTTCCTGGCGGCCCATTTCGCATCGACCCTTGGGTCGAAGGGTGTGGTCAGCATTACTCAGAATCCGGGGATGATTGATACTCCGTCCTATGATAATGCTCCGAGGCTGAGTGTGAGGGTTAGTAAGCCCGTGTTTTACACGCTCGAGGTTGGGGTAAGTACCCTACTTTGGGCCGGCTTTGAGAATGGGATTACGGTGGATTATGGGGGAAGGTATGTCATTCCATTCTGGAGGTAGCTTTCTGGCCCGAGGGAGAATTTGCTGGGGGCGATGAGGGATGGATGGTCTGGGGAAATGGTGGGGTTTGTGGAATAGTGTGAAAGGTGTTGTAAATGCGTTTCGGTAGGTGGCTTTGTAAGAGATATGAGTATGATCGTGTATATAACTTATAAAATAGTGTAAATCGTACATGTAGGCGGATATTACTATTTAATCTCCAGAGCTGATCGTAACGATAGCGGTATTTCTCACTATCTCCTTTTTTCCTCTACCACTACGCGTTAGCTGCTGCCTAAGCATAAACAGCTCTTTCTCCCCAATCCTATAGTCTATAATATGCACAAGAATGTACTTTCAATTCTATACATCATAATTCTGTTCACCTAGAATTGAATTTAGACTTACATCAGATAACCTACTCCAGGATGGATACCGTAAATATATACTGAATATGAGCATGTTAATAGGTTCTGGGGTAGTGTCTTTGTGCCTTGCGGTTACTGTTGAGATGGATGTGATTTCTAGTTGTGGTACTTTGTAGCGTACTGAGAATTATGAGAATATGTTGTACACTTTCTAAGAGTGATGGTTTACAGCCAGCACATCTCAATTGGGAACATCTTCAAAGACAGGAGGCATATCGATATAGGCTTGATGATACTTCTCTAGCCACCCAGGGCTAACTGAGAAGTGCGTAAGCAAGATCCTGGATGTGACACATCTTATCGCAGCCAAACTCAAACTGTATCCTGACAAATATTCACAAAGATTAAATAATTACATATCGAAACTATATCCACACCATTAAGTATATACGTCTTCTCCCAATTCCACCAAACTTTATACAGCCCCTGATCACCACACTCCCCTCTCCAAACCTCACCTCAGCTCCCAATCATCACATCGTAATCAATCATTTCCAAGGCAAGCCCTCCCCCTTACACGCATCAACCTCCCACTTCTCAAAATACCAAAGATGGGCCTCGAAATGCAACAAATTCGGAAACCCAACATCCCCCCTCTTATCATCCCCGTCCTGAAACACCACCACATCCTGCGTACTCACACTCTGGTTATTCCCCGAGCTAATCCAAAACTCAGGACTAATATGCTTGTACCCCATCACCTCCAACGGCACCCGGGGCACCGGATCATCCGTATGCGCGAACCGGTAGTTCGCCCCCTTGTTCTGATTCGTAATGAACTCCGCTAGCTTCGGGTTTGCTACACGCGGCGATGCGTACGCGTACAGCGTTGCGTTGAGCCCGTCGGTCTCGCGGATGTCTGCTGCTGCGAGAGTCGCGATGGCGGCTCCCAAGGAGTGGCCCACGATGACGAGTTCGTAGTCGGGGTATTGAGATACCGTGTTGTTGAGCGTGGGGGTCAGGGTCTTGCGGACGTTTGTCCATGAGCTCCAGAAGCCGAGCTCGGCTTCGCACCCGCTGCAGAGGTTGGGGTCCGTGTAAACGAAGGTGAAGTCCGCTAGCCAGCTGCGGATTGAGTAGCTGCCCCGGAAGGCGAGGATGATGGCGCGGTGGGTGTGGTCGACGGCTAGGTAGCCGGATGTGTCGGTGGGGGTTGTGCTGCAGTTTGTTAGGGTTGTGCTGGTGGAGGGGAGGGAGGGGAATGTACTTAGAGAAGTCAGTGATGATGGTTGCGTTGGAGGCTTCGACTGCGGGGCAGTTCTGTGCCGAGCAGGTTATTTTGTGGCCTGCCTTGCCGGCATAGTTGGGTTCGCAGTAGGAGGCTGCGGCGTATTGGACCCAGAAGGTGAAGGTGTCGAGTTGTTGAGTGGTGATGTCTGGAGTATCGGGGAATTGGTCAGTTGGGGAGAGGAATGAAGTTCTTTGGAATGTGCATTGGTACCTCTCTTGTGAAGAGCCCTGCCTGGGAGGGCATTGCAGCCGGCTATGGCGGATGCAGCCACGAGTAGGGACTTGAGGAGGCGCATGGTGATGATGATACTGGGCATATGATTGACATTGTTACACAGGGCAAGTCGATCATACTTATGTCTTTGATGTGAAAAGTTTTTGTTCTGCCCAACGCTTTTCCATCACATGAACCAAAGGTAAAATCGGCGATCACATCCATTATCTTCAGCTGTACGGATCGAGCTGTGGGGGGCTACTGCATTCCTATTTCCTTCAGCTGGACTGGATTGTGGGACTACTAGCAAACCCCGAATTGCCGAGTCTAGGGGATGGCCTATCCCCTGGCAGGGATACAATTGGAATTAGAATGCAACTATCGAATGTTTGCTTGTTTTTGGTTATCCGATCGACGATCGTCGACTATCGACAAATCAGGGATCGGGATTGGCAGGGGGTGAACGGGGCACACGGGAGCGGCCCAAATTTAGGGCATCACGGAGGAGCAGGTGGGGACGATAGGTTTCCGCAGGCAGCCACTCACGAACTCCTCCATCCACGGTTCATTCAGGTACACGGCGACAATTGTCCGCTGCTGGCCACGTGTAATTGTCATTCTGGTGCTTGACGGTACGACTTTATCCTAATTGCTGTAGATCTAACGAATATTCCCCGAGACAAGCACACGGACATCTCCGCTGCTGACCCACTGTGAGATTCGGTTTTCATCGGAACCCTGCTAGATCCAAGGTTCTTAAGAGACATTTCGGGATGTGTTTGCTTAGCCAAGACAATTAGTCTTCCTGCAGTGCCGTCACTACCTCGGCTGCTCCTCGCTGCCCTGCTCGAATGGCCCCCTCCATGTACCCACGCCACACTGTGGATGTTTCTGTTCCGATAAAATGCACTTTACCATGCGGTGCTGCGAGATCAGTCCCGACGGTAGTCAGCAAGCCTGGTGTCATCGCTGGACAAGGTGCGCCGAGGAAGTAAGGCTCTTTACTCCATTCCATTTCCAGAGTATTGTTTGGCTTGGGGATGTCTTTCACGAACTTGCCAAAACATCGGCAGAATTGCTCCCACACTTGATTGAACCGATCACCCTTGGATAACTCGGACCATGCTCGTCCCCGACTCCCCACCATAAAACATGTGATAGACCATTGGTCATCGGTGGGTACACTCGTGTCCCGCGTGAAGGTTATGGGGCCACCCGCAGAGTCGATAATCCCCGTAAGTCGAGCGTTGCGCCACCATGGCTTTTGAAAGACGAAGATCATCTTACTGTAGTAGCCCATGATCGTATGTTTGCTTAAAACATGCTTGGCTTGTGGAAGTGGGGGATAGAAGGAGATGCTTTGGTACAAGTTCGTAGGAATAGACACGATAACGCGTTGACAACTAAACGAACTGCCATCAAGTGTCTGGACCACGCAGGGACTATCGTCATGAGACTGACTGATTGACGTGACAGGCACGCCCAAGAAGATGTCGGATTGGTCGAGCTCATCTGCCATCTTCCGAGCGATAGTTTGGGTTCCTGCGCCGTTAGCACATCAATTTCAAGGAGGCTTGACGATCATTGCTTTACCTTGCCTGGTACGTAGGTACTGCGCTCCATCCTTCTCATCCGACAGGAGATTGTCGATCCCACTTCCACTTTTGAAATAATACAGCATATACAACGCACTAACTTCCTTACTATCCACCCCAAGCAGCCCCGATGAAATAGCATCTGCCATGTGAACTGCATCCTGCGATCCAGTCCTATCAACGCAAAATTCCTTGAACGTCATATTATCCACTTCCTTGGCCTCTGGAAACCCTTTTGGGTCGTCCAAATCCATCCGCGAGGACTCATCTTGCAGAATATTCAACAATTTCCGCGCAAGCCCTGTCTAAACATCATCAGTGGCCGCCAGCACCTACTTGGTTTGTAGTCAACTAACCAAAGGCCACCCATACGGTATCTTGCGAATCACCCCCTCACCTGATTCGAGAATATCATCTCCACGCGTATACTGTACCACCCCATCCAGTCCGTACCTCTGATGGAGTTTGAAAATCTCACTCTGGTTCGTATCATTCACCCAAGCCGCTCCTAGATCGTTGTACCCCTTTTCGCTGGACTTCACAGTCAATGTCTTCCCTCCCACTCGGTCCGTAGCTTCCAGGATACACACGCTGAATCCTGCTGCCTGGATGGAATGCGCTGCTTGGAGTCCGCTGAGTCCGGCTCCCACGATTACCACATCGTAAAGCCTAGTAGTAGGATCTTTGGATGCAGTCATTTTAAGCTCAATGGTTATAGTAGTAGGGATCGGAGAGTTGTGTGACAGCCTTTGTCGGAGGTATTTTATGCTAGGTAAACTGAGGGGTGGAACACAAAGTGGGTGGCTGGTTGTTGCTTTTCCTCGGCCGCGGTTTATCAATCCGCCAATCGGGATGCTCATAGGTACTGACTCGTTAATATAAGAGAAGATTTGGGTTTCCCATTATATATCGCATTCTAGTATAATACATAAATAACAAAGAGGTCTAATGAAACTCGAACTGATGACAATAAGAGTATGTTGTGGACAGTAAATGTGCGCTCCAATCGGCGGTGACGAAAGTCGAGAGAACACCACCACCGTTCACACAGTATATTTATCCTAACGCAGGAGAGCGACAGGATTTGAAAATCCTATCGCACGATAAATTTCCCAGAGGAATTTACCACTCTCGCGATAGACGCCAGATGATAAATCAAGTATTTGGCGAAGAACGAGAGAATATCTTGGCGAACCGGCGAAAAATTGAGCTGGTTGAACCGCCTCGGACCCGCACAAACCAATACAAGAAGAGCGCAGCAAACACATTGAACGCGATGTATGCCCACATAAGTCCAAAATTGCGCCAACGATCGGCATAAGAAGTGGATAGTAATGTGAGATAAATATTCGAGTCAGTCATCTCGCAATATTCACAGTTGGCGGTTGCCTGGGGATTGTAAACAGAACCTCCAGCGATTTTCATGTAATCGGCGAGGTAACTGGCACAAGTCTCGTTGGCTGGAGGTTGAACGACTACCAATTCCAGATCAGAGCAGTGAACTGCAGTATTCGCTAACCCGGCCGAAAGCATGCCGCCAACGAGATACGTCATCGGGGATACTCGATACATGAAGATCCAGAATCCTGGAAGACTGGCCGGACTGGCCATGACACTGTGATGGTGTATTAGACGAACCAAAATTGAAATCCTAAGATGTAGACAGTGAAACGTACCCGCAAAATATTAAACACATAGAGAACAGTAGCAGAGCTAGTGTTGCACCGACCTCAGCAGTTGCGACGCTAGCAACCACCATGATCGTGAATGTACCACAGTGCATCATGAAAGACCACACCAGAAGAAACATGAGTCCGCTCCTTTCATTCACCGCATGAGTTTCCTCGGCGTTATGATACATCCCAATGATGTAGTAGAATGGAAGATAGATCAGCACTGCCGCAAGAGAGTTCCAGGGGATGTCAACTATGATGTTGGCCAACATGAACGCAGACCAAGCATATGTCTTGGCTGGCCTCTCACGGACCTCGTACAAGTCGCGTTGCTTGATAAAATTAGGCATGGTCTGGTAAGCAAGGAATGCGAAAATAACAAGGAGCATGAATATCGCAAAAGTCTGGTGCTGAAGACCTAGGACCGTAACTTCCGTATTCAGAAATGAAAGTCCAATAAACAGGGCCTGCATAGTGTGTCAGATATTTGAAGCCGACAGCCTGGGGTCGCTCGTATGGACATACCGCTCCGAAGCAGAGTATCAGCTTAGCATAGATGTATGACGGAGAGCGCCAGTACTGTTCGAAAACCCGCTTTGTACAAAGACCCAGCTGGATGTGAAACGGGGCCGCATATTGCTGGACTTGCGCAGCCCCTTCTTTCAGGCCAGGAGAGCCGGACTGCTCAAGCCGTTCAAGCTCCTTTCGCGTTTCTTGGAATTCACGGCTCTCTTTCCATGTGACCGGCCAGTCACGCACCGAAGTACTCCCGGGGGCAGCACCGATGACTTCCAACATCCATTCCGCCGGATTCTCCTCTTCCGCACAGGCCCTTGCCCCATATCGCTCAAAGTAGCCAATAAGGTTCTGTGAGTTAGACCCAATTGGCCCAAAGTATACTGTACGGCCACCTCTAGCTAGTAGAAGAAGCCGATCGAATTGCTGGAAAAGAATAGCCGAGGGCTGGTGGATGGTGCACAAGATGGCCTGACCATGGTTCGACAACTTCCGGAGTAGCAGAGAGATAGACCATGCCGTCTGGCTGTCCAGCCCCGACGTTGGCTCATCGAGAAAGAGTAGTAAATCAGGCTTTGCAGCTAGTTCAACGCCAATAGTCAATCTTTTCCTCTGTTCTACATTCAGACCTTCTCCAGGAACACCAACGACAGCGTCAGCGTACGGTCTCATTTCGAGCAAATCAATCACCTCTTCCACATATTGCAGCTTTTCAGCTTTACTGATAGAGGCAGGCTGGCGGAGGAGAGCACTAAACTGAAGTGCTTCCCGAATAGTGCTGGTTTCCAGATGGACATCTTGCTGCTGAACGTAGCCTACCCTGCGCTGAAAGGACGCATCTCGCGGGGTTCCGTTGACGCAAATGTTGCCGGATACAACGCCTGTTTTCACCCTGCTTGCTAGAAGATCCAGGAGTGTTGTTTTTCCAGCCCCTGAAGCGCCCTTTTTCGAGGAGTTAGTTAGATTGAAGGTTTGACGAAGGTTATATTATACTCACCATCAACGCAGTCAGAGTGCCTGGGGTTACCCAGCCATCGATGTGATCTGCAATTCGTCTCATTTCGCCCTTGATCGGAACATCGTAGCAAACATCTCTCCAGTGCAAGGTATTGGATTCAAAGCGGAACTTGAGAGACTGGTCTTCTTGACGGCCTTCATGGCTGTCAACGCAAGAATGGCTTGCCGGCGCTGCTTTTTCGGCACTGCTCTCTTCGTCATGGGCATGTTCCCCGTTAACACGGGCTACCCTATGCTTACGCTGGAATACCAACACTTCGCCTTTGGAATAGCTGAACTTCACAAATTCGGAAATGAAGAGGTATGTAGTCATGAAGAACAGAATGAAAGCGATAAGAATGCCGAAATTTCTAACTTTCTGTCAGCCAGCGAGCTATTTCGTTTGGACATCGGTGGTCACTAACCTCCAGGTATGAGAATAATAGTACCCATAGTTTGCCTCTACATATGCGTCTCCGCTGACCACGCTCGAGGCAGAAGTAGCGCCTGCCACAGAGCAGGTTCGATCTGTAGCTGGAATATTCTCATAACCCGGACCAGAAGGGACAAAGCTTGCACATTCGAATTCGCGATCATGAAACTCGTTCGCCACAAGAGTTTCGTAGGAGTATGCGATCGGGTTGATGTAGTTGAGCCAACGCAGCCAGACTTGCATGTTCCGGGTAGGCAGCACAAAACCGGTGTATACAACTAGCCCAATAACACCAAGCGCAATGGGAGTGAGAGCCTGTGCAATTGTACGGGTCAGTTGAGCAATGGTACGGAATATCATGGACATAGTCAAGGTCGACATGAACGCGAATAGTAGATATATGAGCACATGACCCGACTCCCGCCGCAAGTTCGACATGTAGTATAACGGCAAATTGAAGGACAGCGTAGAGAGGATTTTGCACGGTAGATCGCATATCATGGAGGCCATCGCTTCTGACATCGGATGGTAAAAGGCGTAAGACGCATGCTTCTCGACGATCGGTCGCTGGGCATACAATGCCAATATCTGCTCTGTCAGCATCACGATGCTATTGAAGGGCCATAACGCTCACCTCTAAAGCACTGTTGAGTGCGTTAAAGAGCAAAGCAAAGAACAGGAGAATACATCGATCTGTGAAGCTGGCGGAAGTGTCCGAAAGATGGTAGAACACACTACCAAGTATAAGAGAGAGAAAAAAGTTGCCAAAAACCGTTACGATAAAGAAAGAAGGATCCCCAAGAATCCTGTGGTAGCCCCGTCGCATACACAAAGCTATCTGTTGCAACACAGAAATTGTGTAGGGAGATTTTTTCGTCCTGAAATTTGAGTCAATGACAGCTCAAATCAGTACCCACAGTGCCCGCTTACATCAAAGGAGACCTTTCGGCATTCCGGGAGTTTTCAAATTTCTGCAACATGGGTCCCCCAATCGGATGGTCTTTCTCGAAGCTCGATATTTCTCCTAGAAGTTTAGCTCTCAGGGCACTCTGTTCCCAACACTGTGCAAATTCACTGGGGGTCCGGGGAACTCGGGCTTCGAAGCCAGGCCGGACTACTCTCTCGACAGGATTTGTGAGCGACGTGAGAAAGTCTGCCGTGGTTTGTCGTTCAGGACACTGGTAACCAAGCTCTGTGAAGTACGACTTCGCTTGGTCAACTGGACCAAAATATATTTGCCGGCCCTCGTATAACAGTGCAACTTTATCAAAGACCTAGCAAGATATGTTAGTTAGACGAGATGAAGAGGAAAGGGAATCTTGCATACGTCATATGATTGTTGCGATGCCTGATATAATGCCACAACAGCCGCGGTACCCGCCACATCGACTGAGAGTCTCACGGTCCGTACAAATTCGAGAGCCGTAGCACTATCCAAGCCACGAGTACTGTTGTCCCAGCACTGTATACAACTTTGTGTGAGAGCCAATTCTGCAATGCTGACTCGCTTTCTCTCTCCGCCACTGACGCCGCGAATAAAGTCGTCGCCAACCTTAGTATTGACTGTATGGGAAATTCCAAAGACCGCCATAACCACATCGCGCAGATGAGTTGCATAAGTTTCGCGAGAGACTCCGGGCAGCCTATTGTGAGGTGTTCTCGCCAGGGCCGCATACTGGAGGGTCTGCCCAACTGTCAAATGTGGGAAATGGACGTCTGTTTCTGCCTGATACGTCACGTCCCCTCGGAACTTTTGGTGCATCAAATCCCATTCAATCCCTATATTTGTTCAAGATTGAAGGTATATTGTCAGTTCTCCGTCTGTATGTGCCTCTCCCGGTCAGACTCCCACCTTGATAGTTAAATTCCGCTGAATCGTCCAAGAACAGTCCTTTAGTCTGACCGGCGATGGTCTTCAATAGAGTTGATACACCACTAGACGAATCATGTTACATTGAAGAAACGTAGACCAGGGAATTAAGAACTCACCTGCCAGGCCTACCCAGGACAAGGAGCATTTCTCCGCTGCGCAAGAGCCCGTCATGATTTTTCAATATCTGCAGTTTATGGTCTCTGCGGTTGATCAAGCCGCCAACCAGATCACCCAACTGCAAGATATCGTTCAAGAAATCCTTCTGATAGGCTGTTGAGCGGCCATAGCCATGGACACTGAGGTTCCGGAATGACACACCCGCCGTACGCTGTGGGAACCGATCAGGATCTTGCGAGGACAAGTGAAGTACAGTCCTCGCCCAGTGACTCGCATTGAACTTCGGAGAATTGGGGTCCAAACTCGGATCACAGTGTGTCGTGAAAGGGTTGGGCGGCATACCATCCTGCCGAAACCGTGTCGAGTCTGCCGTGAGCCGTCTGGCAAGATTCATAATCTTGCGCTGGTCTTCAGTCGATATGTCTCCTTGGTACACCTCTGCACTAACAATATCCGTATTGCTACCGGAGTTGACTGATGCAGTCATACTGGTGTCTTCCCTGTCATCCATTTTCGGGCTATATGGAATTCAAAGTTCCTTTCTGTCGCTTGCAGGCCGATCGATGGCGAGAGAGTATGCAAAGCGAGTCACACGGAAACGTGGAAGACGAATTTGAGGCACTCTGTTAGTGATGGGATCACCGGTAAATCACGAATAATGGTTGAACACATATGACAGAGAGCGCCATAGAATGAATCAACTCTTAAAACTAAAGGATCAACCAAGTACAATGAGACGCAGTCTTGTTCGCTATATATATCATGTTATGGAAGTCAATGCGAAACGGACAGCTATAGCAAGCAAGCCCCTTTTGATAGTCATATTTGCTAGCCATGATGTAATGTGAGAAATCCTTTCGTTTCAATTCTCTGATTTGCGATGCTTCGTGGGCGCCGAAGAAGCGACATGATAGCTGCTTATTGTTAGTTCGGCGCCGAAGTTAAGTGGGGAATCGGAGGACATCGGCGTTGTTCCTGCATTCCATGTCGGAGCTTTCGGCGGCGAATGACTCCAGGGCTTTTCCTCAAGCTCCTCTTCCATCCTCTTCCCAGCTCTTTTCTTCACGGGAATTCCGCAAAACACCAAGTGAAGAGATCATGTCGGTAGTAAGACAAGGCTCCGACCCCCTGCATAAGGCATGCGATACGTGCAGAGCCAGGAAAACGCGATGTAGTGAGTCGAGATTCCAGTCGGTCGGAAGAGAACTGCCTCCAGGTCGGTGTCTGACTAATCTCGTTTTCACGCCAGAAATCTCGGGCAACACTGATGCCTGCGACTTCTGCCTGGTATATCAGGCCGCCATGTCTCGCTTTTCGGAATGCTGATTGTTCATTATTGTTCATTAGTCCCAGCACCGTCCCTGCTCCTTTACTCCAGTCAAGCGACCAAGAAAGCGCAAGTATGACGCGTCAGGTACAAACAGAACACTAGCTCCGGACTGCCACGGAAGCTAATCTACCACACCAGTTTTCATACCACTGTCCTCCACATACCAACAGTCCGTTCGTGACCTTCCTGGTCCGCAGTTAGGCTCCGAAAATGTGGGCTATCAGCAGCCGGGACTGTATATCGACTCTTTGCTTGCAAATCGCCAAGCCTCTCGCATACACGGAGGTGCCAGTCATCCAGATCAGGTATTGTCTGGCCCTTTTGCTCATCGTGCTCCTATCTGACCATGGCCTCGCAGCTGACCACTATCTTTGGCCCAAACCCCAACATCTCTTTCTTCCCTGAGCGACGGGTTCGCGCCATCAGTCAGCGATTGGGCCACAACCGGCTCGATCAGCTACTAGATGAAATACGCGCGGTGGTTGCAACCAAGGTCAAAAATAGTTGTGCCATCCCTCAGTCATATATACAACGACACCTGGGCACCGGAAAGATCCAAGTCCCGAGTCGTGACATTATCGACGGACACATTTCTGGTACCTGCGCCTTGACTGACCTCTTCTATTCTCTTGCTGGCAATAATAACCCTCTTGCAGCCTACTTTGACTCGATACATCCGATCTATCCATTTCTTTGTCCAGATACCTTTCGTGCGCGTGTAGCGTCGCAGGATTTGGTCCAATCACTAGGAACAGATAAGGTTTGGGCAGCACTATTCTACGCAATAGTGGCGATTGGGTGTCAGAACAATGAAGGAGGAAGCTTTGATACTGGTGTGGGGGAAGCCTGGTCATACTTCGAACGGTCGTTGTCATGTTTCCAGGATCTCCTCTTCGGAAGAGGCTCATTGACTGCAGTCCAAGTGTGTTGCTCCCGTTAATATCACAGTTCATGACTAATGCGGTTTCATTATGCTAGGCACTCCTCGCCATGGTATCTAGCCCGTCATCAAGCACCATAATACAAGACTGACATCTTTCACAGGCCATATTTTCATCGACAGTGTCTGCGTTCAACTTCGAACCCTTAATGCTAACAGAGGCTGCCGTTATGGCACAAGGTTTAGGGTATCATCGTTCGAATAGTGCACAAGAAGGTCCGTGCCGTCGCACGTTCTGGGTGCTCTACTATATGGAGAAGACATCCTGCTTTGCGACTGGTAAAACTTCGGTGAGTTGAGTATGTCCGTTATCATCAAACTATTCTTCTAAATCAGGGTTCAATGGGTCTAGGTATTGGATGATGCCAACATAAGCTGTGCAATTCCCGATATGATGGAGTCCACTTTCCACGACTATGACTGGTTCTTTAACTTCGTCAAATATGCTCGTCTAGTCTCCAAGATTCACCAATCTCTCTTCACAATCAGCTCGGTTAGTCAGCCGCTGTCCAACTATAACTCTGTGGTTGAGAGCCTACGTATAGAATTGGAAGCCTGGCGCGCGACCATTCCGACCCGGTTTCGGCCAGGCGAAAAATTCAAATCTCGTTCTTTGCACGAGCCCCTGGCGGTCCAAATTGCTTTGATTACCCACTTCCTTTATTTGAACGCTCTCCTTACACTGTCGTGGACCGTCCTTCACTACGGAGCCGTCCGTTTGGGGTCAACACAACAGGAATTTATGAAGCGCGACTTGATGCGGACTGCTCGAAGTGTCCTCGAGCTCACCGTGCACATCGAGGTAGCGCCTTCCACACCGGTCTGGTAAGCCTCTACTATATTTCTGAGTTTTAAAACGACTACTAAGTAGTGACCTACGCGGTCTTGCTGTGCCACAGGATACTCGCTGTCTTGCCACTATCATCGCTGATGATCTTATTCGACCTGGTGGTCCACAACGCCAACCACCCGGAAACTGGTCTCAGCCTCGCTCTTCTCGACATCGCCGGCGGGCACTTTAGTAGGCTAGAATATGCCAGCAATGGTGCCCTTCCGGGATCTCTAATAGCAGAGTTTGCCCATCTTGCTCGTCAATACGTTTCCGAGACCCGCAAGCCCAAGTCTATGTCCAGAGACTCCAATGAGAGTAGCATTTCATTTCAGGCTCAGGACCGGGTAGGAACCTCTCCGTCCGCGCCAGAACCCACAACCAGTGTCGCCCCCGCAGATCCAACGGGGCTGGTTGCGCCGGCGGTGCTCCCGCAGGGGCCGGAACCTGTCGCTTCAGAAGCTCCCGGGGTCATGCAACCTTGGAGCCCTGCTTCTCTTGATCGGAGTGAAGCGCTTTTCCTGCCTTATATCGACGATCCAACTTACTATTTTGGGGATTTGCAGTTGCTTGGTATCGATTTAAAAGATCTGTTTGACCATTCATACAGTTACCAGGAGTGAGCGATAGTGGAGTGTAGTACCCAACTCAGCGCTACATGTACCATTTTCGCCTCTCACATCATAGGCCATTCATAGTTATCGTTGCCAGTACGTCTCACTTTCTTAGCTCATCCTCGTTCCTGGCCAAACACTACCCTGAAAGTGGATCAAAGTTCGGGGCTTCCTTGCAGTCCAAATGCAGCATCGATCCAATCGATCCAATTGTCACCCTATGGCCGACTGACAAAGAACTTCCGCAACCACAAGAATGCAAGTATAATATGCGATGCATCATGACCTTGTCGAAAAAATACACCCTGAAGGGCTGATCGTGCGAGTGGCCTAGTTTTGCCGGAAACGGAAACGCGGCCTACTAATGACATCCATCAGTCACGTGCAGTGTATCCTCTCTAGCAATATATTTGCGAGCACGTCTTGTCAACTTTCTACAATTGTCACGAACCCGCTGTAGTCGAAGAACATTCTTTATGTTTTTTTTTTTTTTTTTTTTTTTTTTTTTTTTTGCCTGCGGGCTTCCTCTATATAGAGCCCGTACGATGTCGTACGGTCGCTCCGCTTCTCTAGCAATGGAGCAAGAACTTCGTCATAAGACCAGCCAGACAATGTCTCCGACCCCAGCATTGAAGGTCGATCGTCCGCACGGGTTCAATCTGGCCAGCAAGGGCGCTGGCGTTTGAGGAAACGTCCCATATCCCTACCGACTATGTGAGATACATACTCTAGTTCACCTTCTCCGTTGAACCGATACCATGCTACCGCGGCGGCCAGACTTATCCACTCAAGCGCGATAAACCTTCAAGGGAAGGGGGGTGTGACACGACAAAATGTATGCCTTCATATCGCCGTATCTCGTGATGGCCGCATGTGATTATCCTCCTGAGAAGCGATTGTCACAGCCTGAACCCGACATTCACTTCAATATCGATGCCAACATTACCATATTGGCCACATTCCTGGCATCACCTAGGGAATTAATCTGACGATGGGTCGGGAGTTGATTCGCCATTCAGTGGTGCAGTTTGTCGGTGTCTAATCGTGAGGGGGCCCGTTACTGTCCGCATCGTGCCTATGACGTTATCGTTCGGACTGCTCGGTCGGAGAATGGATTAGCAACCGTGATGAAAACAGTCGTCTGGGACCGGGATATACCTGATGCAACCCGAAAGGTAGCTGGCAGTACATCTCCAGGGCGTGAAGCCTAGGATGGCACCTGGATCAGTCGCAAGGTGACCGCAGCTGTTGCACATCCAGGCGGTGTGGCTAGATGTGCTTGGCCATGAGATGCAGGACACTCCGGAAGGACGGAAGTACTCGGTGGTACTTCGAGTATCTTTCTGTCACACGGTCTGAGCCCTGGGGAATGGTGGGAGTGAGTACTAGCAGCCTGAAGAGTGGAGGGAGAATCTCATTACACAGTAGATACTATCCAGCGATGGTCACAAGTTCAACCCCGCACATGCACTCCGGCTTGCCGAGAAGCGCGCGGGTCCTCCCAGATTGGCTAGTCCTGCGGGACTGAACCGTGTTACGCTCCGCGACAGCCAATGGCTCGCGTTGTTGCCGGCATGAGATCGAGACATTGGCCGCCAATCGGCCCTGCTGGGCCCCGCCTGGATATCCCCCGACCTTTCAAGGTCTCCCTTCTTCATCTGCAAGCCTCGAGCTTGTCTCTCCATCCCTCCGCCACAGTGGTACGATCGTACAACTTCAGCCCCTGTACCGTCACTATGGATGCCAAATCGCTGCAACAAGCACGTGGGACGCCGCCTCCCGAAGAGCGTCGTCCCCTTCTCGGTCCCGATGGTGAGGTTGTACAATATGAAGTGGACGATGACATAAAGGGTAGGTCCCGACAACCAGCATCACGATGGACATCAGTTTGGGCCAAGTCAATCTTTATCACGGCCATCCTCTTGATTATGTGTATCCTGCTGGTCCTGTCCTTGCTCTTTCTGGGCCTAGGTATCTCTGGCCTCCCCCATGGCCCGTCCGAGAAACCATCGTCTCCACACGCTCCTATCAAGAATGTGGTGGTACTCGTCCAAGAAAATCTCTCATTTGACACCTATGCGGGAGGCCTGACATACAACCCTACAATTGACGGCCTCGTGAATAGAAAGTATTGCAACCCTTCCGACATAGAAGATCATAAATCGCACCAAGTCTGTGCCAAACCTACCGCCAAGAATGTCGCCCCCGATGATCCCGACCATTCCATCGCGGGTGGATCAATGCAGGTCTACAGCACTTATCATCCGGATAACATCAGTAGTGCTTCCATGCAAGGATTTGTGACAGAACAGGTCCGCTCATATGGCATCGACGGCGATCTCTCCCGCGCGGCCGAAGTCATCAACTACTACACCCCGGACCATGTCCCTGTCCTCAATGCTATGGCAGAGAATTTTGTACTGTTTGATGCCTGGTTTGCTGCAGTTCCGGGTCCTACTAATCCCAACCGCGCCTACTTGACGTCTGGGACTAGCTATGGGCATGGAATGAACGACATTGGCTTTTTGACCTCGGCTCTGCCTCAGGTGTCAATATTCGAACAGTTGTCCAACGCTAACATCAGCTGGATCAATTATTCCAACACAACTGGCTTCCTCCCTGATGCACTGTTCTATAAGTGGACTTTGAGGACCGGAAAGTCCGAAACACACATCAAGCCCATCGACGAGTTCTACCGCGACGCCAAGGCAGGCACCCTTCCACAGTTTACCTGGATCAATCCTGAATGCTGCAAGTACATGTCGTTCCATCCTCCGTCCCCCATAAACATGGGCGAGGGATTCATCAAGAGCATCTACGAGGCGCTTCGATCCTCACCGCAGTGGAACGAGACCCTCTTCATCTTGACCTTTGACGAGCATGGAGGTTTCGCGGATCACGTCTCCCCGCCCGAGAACGTGCCTCCTGGTGACCATCACACTCATAAAGAGTGGGCTCTAGACGGAAGCAGGATTGAGTTCAAGTTCGATCGGCTGGGAATACGTGTCCCCACGCTGCTGATGTCTCCCTGGGTCGGGAAGGGTGTTGTGCAGAATCGTCCCACAAATCAGCCGAACGATTTCACCCATACTTCTATTTTGAAGTATCTCTCTGAACTGTGGGATTTGCCTGTATTGACGCCGAGAGTTGCCTGGTCGCCAAGTTTCGGAGGCTTGATCACCAACAGGTATCGGGAAGATACCCCTGAGAAACTTCCTGAGCCTGCTGACTTCTAGATGATCTATAATGGATGTGACATGATAAAATGTAATAATCAGAATGGACCATAGGTTGCACACTTTCTGCATATGATATTGGCTGAGGACTGGATCTGGCTCGAGAACAGTGTCAATTACTTGATTAATTATTCTATTATCGTTCATAGTTATAAAGAATGGCAAGCTATCACAATTGAACAAACAAATTGGTATCTTAAAAGCAAATGATCACTTCTCCACCTAACTAACAATACTGCCTGGGTGGACCAGACTCGACACTTCTCCCCTGCACAACAATCACCTGACCCCTTAGAATCCAAGGAACTTCTTCCGCTTGGATTTGACCGACCGCGACCTCGATCGCTGCGTGATCGCCGAGTTCCTGGTGTTGACACGATCGATATCGTACGGGTTCGCCTCATACTTCCGACCTTCACGCTCATCACTTGATACCGATGCCGTAGCCACCGACTCGGCGCGCTCGAGGTCCAACTCCCGATCGACCCTAGTCTCATCCACTCCATCAGCGACCGCCTCGGCCTCTTCCTCGACAACTTCCTGGCCCTTCTCCGGGTTCAGTGATTTTTCAGCGAGTTTCCTCATGAATGCATCCGCTTCTCCAGCATACTTGCATTTGCGTCGAATAGCGGCACCATACTTGTAGAAGATGAACGGGAAAGGCAAGCAAGCGACTGACAGGAAAGCCGGGATGGAAGATGCCCAATGAATACCCAGGTTCTGGTACATGTATGTCGTGAAGAGAGGGAATCCCGCGCCAAAGCAGCTTCGAATGATGGAATTGGCTGCCAATACTGAGGCAGCATAGATCGTGTACGCGTCAATCAGGTACGACATGATATTTAGGAAGACGAGGACCATGCCGAATCCGAACGGAGCAGACGCAATGATACTGACGATCCAGTGAACGTTGAGACCGTTGGTCCAGGCGAACCAGAACAACCCAATCGGAATGGTGATACTGCCGATCATGGAGGGTGGAAGACGTGCCTCGGGAGGTGCAAACCCGCGGTGTTTCTCATGCACACGTTTATACCGCTTGTTGTCCCACATGTTGTATCCTACAGCTGACATCATTCCGACCATAACTCCCAAGAAGGGCAGACTGCCCACTCCTTCGTTCCAGCCGCGCAATTGTTGGTAAACGATCGGGAAGGCGTCGAAGAGCATGTACAGCGTGCCATATACGATGGCCATGTATAGCGAGAGAAGGAAGACAATGGGTTCAGCGAAGAGGAGGATCCATGGGCGCAAGAGAGCCGCTCCGAAGGCACTGGTCACGGAGACACGGCCACGTTCGACGTCGAGTTTGCTGATGTACGTCTTGCCGGTGAGCTTGCTGAGACGGTCGGCGCGCTTGCGGAGGAGGACTGGGGCGTAGGTTTCGGGAACAAGCAGGAACTGAACAATCCAGATAAAGCCAGTGAATGCGGCCAGGAAGCCTTCAACCCATTTCCAACCTGCACTTTGGCCCAGGAAACCGCCGATGACGGGCCCAAGGGTCGGTCCGAGGAAGGGACTACCCGCAAAGACACTCATCGCCAATCCTCGCTGTTCAGCGGGAAAGACGTCTGCAATTAGTCCACCGGCGTTGGTTAGAGGACTGGATCCGAATGAGCCAGCGAAGAATCGCAGGATGATGATTGTCCATGGGTTTTTCGAGCCTGTTGCACCAGCACTGAATACGGCCAGGCCCATATACGAGACAAAGAACACAAGTTGGCGGCCGATGAGTTCACTCAGCGGTGCCCAGACAAGGGGCCCAACAGCAAACCCAAGCACGAACAGTGACACACCCAGAGTGGCTACCTCAGTACCGATGTTGAAGTGCTCGATCACTTGGTCAATACTGCCCGCATAGGCGGACGAGGCCATGGAAACGCCAAAGGTCGCGAATGCGGCAATAATGGTGTAGACCCATTTCATGTTCTTGTTGAAGAGCATGGGGTTACGTGGGTCATTGGGAATCCATTCTACGACGAATGGGTCGGACTCGGTCCCTGAGCCGACATAGGGATAGTCGATGATCTCCTGAGTGACAACACTCTGGTCGACAATCAGACGCCAGTGAGGAATCTTAGCCATGATTTGGTTGGGATCCTCGTGAAAGACCTGGCTGGGGTTGGAGCATGATGAACTGAGACAGATCAAGGCAGGTGGAGTAGCGTAGTTATAAGAATGATTAGCTTGATGGGGCTGTAATGGCGTGTTATGAGGAATTTTCTTAGGCCTGGTACCCGATGGCGCTATGACACGATCACACTATGCAGGGCTACCCTGATTCATCTGCTGCAGGCATCCAAGGGACTGGCCGGGTGAAGAATGATTTGACCTGAGCCATGGGCAAATCCCAATGCTTGTCCAGGATCCACTGGTACGGCATGGCTCCACTCGGTGGAGGCTTCGGCTGTGAGTTCGACAACCCGATCACCGACCGGACCGAGGCTGCGTGCGGCTCTCGTATTGTTATCTGGTCAGAATCGGTTACATTACAGCTTCAGAATACTTCTGGAACTTCTCGCGATCCTCCTGGTTGTTCGATGGGCTGATTGAGAAGAAATCAATACCAGGTTAAGGTGAAGCCTGATAACCGAACCCACGCGAGGCATTCCCACCCTCGGCTTGCAGATCCCTATGCCTTGTTCCAGTTGTGCTCCCGGTCGTCTGCATAACATCTGCACTAAGCAAATCCCGAAAGACGATACAGCACCGTCACGAGCACAAACACATAATGGGGCCGGGTGTACCTGGCGAACCATTGGTGATTTCAGATAAGCTTTGTTGTCATTGTCGCGCCCTTTGACGTGTGACAGCGCCATCTGGGTGGACATCCGGCTCGGTCGGAATCTCGATACTTTTTTATGTTAATCTTTCTGAGCATAAGTCTTCAGTGAGCACTACTTCCTCCATATGCTGGGTCGTGTGGAAAATAATTCCGCCCGCTGGTGGGGTCTGTTGAAGCACTGGCAGCTGCCTTCTTTTACATGTAACCAGAGCAAGTCTCATACGTGGTGCGATATTGGGAATGCCTCAGGGACTGCAACGCATTTGGCATTCATTGACACTAACTACAGCTTTGACTTGACTCTTACCAACCCCAGTCCCAATAAGGGCAGAGTACTAATCATCTGGGCTACCTGAGTTTCCGTTCGTCAGCACAACGGCGCTTGGCGAATAGACACTCAACTCACCCAATGCCACTTCATTCCTAGGCGCTGAAAGTATGTAAATAGTGCACCACGAGGCACATAGCCAGAATATGTTGATTGCCATCTCGCCGCAAACGACCCGGCAATTGGTCCCAACTCTCCGAATCCCAAGGCTTTGAGCACCCACGGTGCTAAGACCGCCAGCACCCCCAAGGCAAGAAGAATTGCAAAAACTGGGTGCTCCTTGGCAAATTCCACTGCGGCTTCCTTGGCCTTCGTCAGAGCGTCGGCGGCAGGGCCGGCCATTTCCGCTCCAGCTTTAATAGCGTCGCTGAGACCATGGAGGATAGCTTGGGCGATGGACTCGCTCCACCCGTTGGTATCGACTTGTTCTTGCAATCTTTTCTGAATGGCCTCGTGAGTCTCACCAGTCAGAAGGATGTTGACAATGTCGGACGCAACAGCGGAAGTGCGCGCATCGGTTTGGTGGACGCTGGGCGATGGTCCCCAGATGCATTCCACGATCGACTTTATGATGGTCATTTTCGGTGCAGAAGCAAACGGTTAAGGTGGGCTTTTGGTCACTGTTGGTGGACTCCAAATATACTGGAAGCAATGGTGGACGTGCAAGTGCAGTCTTCTAGAGGTAGGGGAGTTGGCGCTGTGGGTGAGAGACGGAAGTGTTAAAGATGACGGAATAATGATGTCCATTCACTGTTATATATTATGCGCTGCGAGCAGTTGCCGCAGACAAGGCACACTCCATGAACGCCCATGCAACAGATAAAATTGATCGCGTCCAATGATGCCAATGTTGACCACAGCCTTGCAGCTTAGCTTCAGTTTCCATGCATACACGTCCAAGGTTGGTTGGTCGCTCTGGTATCGCCGGTGTCGCTAGGCGCCGCAATGCTCTCCGCCAGGCATGAATTCCACGCCAACGATTTGGCGCCGAACGATAGCGCCATCCAGTGAGGATTGAGCAGCTAATAATAGCTTGGTTCAGCCACAGGCATGCCCTTCTGCTACCAACATGACCTCCCTTTATGGCTCCGGTTTGCTCGGGTCTGGTGGAAATGTTGTTCCGAATAACAATAGGCCAGGTGCTCATGGCCTCAGGACCTAGCGTCCACGTGAGGCACCCTCCTTGCCTGTATCATCATTGCTCTACGCAGTGTATCGTGCATGGTCGGTACTGCGCCGCGTTAGCTCTGGCTTTTTCAAACCCATGGTTCCTGCTCTTTGCATCCATATGTAAGTCCTCACGCATAACGGTACGGCCAGATTCCCCGGACATGATCGTCAACACTAACGACGTTAGGGCGCTAATGGTTGTTGACCGTTCTGAAACATGCCCTAAATTGGGAACACTCCGATTAAGGATACACTAAGCAGTCAAATCGCACGTTCTGTTTACCACAAGGGAACCAGAATAGAGCGCTCGTTCTCACCGGTCAGCAATAATGACGGAGACCCAGCCGCCACCGGTCCAATGCCAACATCATGGGTTCCTTTACCATGATGGGAAGTGCGGGGAACGAATATCAAGAAATCTTCAGCTATGCGCGGATCGACAGCTGTTGCGTGGAATACACAACCCCCTCACGAGTCTGACGCTGCCTGTTGCGCGTATTTTTGTGGGCTCGTTATCCTATAGCCAATTGCGTGCTCGTTAAGGTGCTACATTCCAGAATGTGGGAAGTGATATCATGCCACCCTATACCAAGAGTCGCTAGCCTTATGAGCAGAAACAGGTCCAGAGCCCCCTTCTGCGAAGTCTGTATGCCGGCTACCCGTCAACATGCCCATATGAGGAAGACCTTCCAACGCCCCGAGCCTCTTGACACGGCCAGTAGATGATAAGCTTGTGGACGATCCGTGCCCATTCTGTGATAAAGATGCTCCGTGACACGTCACGCAAAGATACTCCCGCAGCATACAACCCCAGTGTGTACTACATGCTCGGGTCATTTCCTGGCTCTTAACAACGGCTACGCACATTAGCAGGCACGCCCCGTTGCTTGGTCGTGCTTGGGGATCCTTTGCTATCCATCGCACTGACCCGCACCAGCTTCTTTAGTCCAAATAAGGGGCAAACAAGTGGGGAGGTGATCCGCGTGTTCTACTGATCATCTCCACAACCACAACTCGAGGTATGCATCCCTTGATTGATCCACAACCACCTGGTCTTTAAAACCAACCGATGGACTGAGACATCCATTGTGAGCGGTTGATATTCTCACCATGGGCGAATTCGGCATTGAAGAGCTTTCTGATCTCAACGTCCTTGCTGCCGAGCATGGACTGGAACTGACCCCAGACGGGTGTCACTTGCGCTGGGCTCGAACAAATCCCAAACATCCGCGGAACTGGCATCCAGTGCGCAAGTCCTACGATATTGTTGTGATCTCGCTTTTGGAATTCTTCACGTGAGGTTGTCTTGAGACTTCTGTGATATGTTGCTGACATCAACTGTCCAGGACATGTCTCAGTACCTCAGGAGTGAGTAGGGCTTTCCGCACATATGCACAATGTCTCACATTTGACAGGCCACAACAGCCACGGCCGCACAGGCCGAGTTCGGAACGTCAAAGACATTGACATTGTTTCTATATGTCTCAACGTGCGCTGCCAAAACTACCCAATGGCCGAGCATTAGACACTAATTGTTATAGTTATCTTCTAGGACAAGGTCTGGGGGGAATTGTATTTCCCCCTTACTCGGAATCCTTCGGTCGAAAGAAGCTCTATATTTTCAGCGCGTCTTTATACAGCGTATTCTGCCTCGTCATCGCGGCGGTCCCGTCAATTCCCTCCCTAGTCGTCGGCCGTTTCATCACCGGCTTTCTGTCAGCCATCCCTACCGTTGTGATTACCGGAAGTATCGAAGACATGTTCAATACGCATGATAGGATCTTTGTCATGTTAGTCTACGTCTCGATGGCATGCATGGGTGTTAGCGCCGGGCCTATTATAAGCTCGTATATTTCTGTTCGCTTTGGATGGTGGGAGACTTCTTAGCCTTTCGATTTGCGGGTGCTAACACTGGCACAGGAGATGGGTGTTTTACGTCGGCGCTATTGTCTCCGCCTTCCTCGCCGCGCTTCTTTTATGCATCAAAGAGTCTCGACCATCCCTCATTCTTATGCGTGAAGTCCAAACTCTCCGTAAGCTGACCGGGAACGATACGTTCAAGGCGCAAAACCCGGATTACATGCCGGATCTGCGCACCTTCCTCCATCTCGGCTTGTTGCGGCCTCTCCGTCTCTTCCTAACCGAGCCTATCGTCTTTATCGTGACAATGATATTCGGAGTGTGCGTGGCTTTGGTCTACCTCTTCACGGAAGCCCTTCCTCCGGTTTATGAGCAATTCGGCTTCAGCACGGAAGAAGCATCCCTCCCGTTTCTCGCCCTCGGACTCGGTGTTATCCCCAACGCTTTGACCCGCATCGTGGACTACCGCATAATCCGAAGACGCCAGAAGAAGTGCGGAGTCCTCAAGCCAGAACACAAGCTGACGGGGATCTACATCGGAGCACCTGTACTCGCGATCGCGCTCTGGTGGTTCGCCTGGACGATCCCTCCCCAAGTGACCAATGTCAACTGGTTTGTTTCCGTGGTGGCGCTCTTCTTTATCGGATACGCACTCAATGAGCTGGAGATCGTGGTGACGGCATACATGGCAGACAGCTATCTGAGCTACGCTGCTAGCGGCTTTGCTGCTCTCTCCATCATTCGATCCTTGCTTTCGGCTGCGTTCCCACTGTTTGGGAGTAAAATGTTCGACGCACTGGGTGCCAACGTGGCCGTTTCGATCCTGGCCGTGCTAGCAACGATATTCTGTATCGTGCCGCCACTTCTCAGTCGTTACGGAGAGCAGATGCGGATGCGGAGTGCGTTTGCCAAGTACAGTCTGCAAGTGTATGCGGAGAACGGGGTGGATCAAGACTTTCAGTAATTATGTGCAGAGGCATGACACTCAATGCGAGTGTCTAGTTGGATTCTGCACACCGGTTACTACAGTCAGTGCCATCTGGCGCTGAGAAAGAGGCGGGAATATATACCTAAGTACTATTAATTGACACGGAAAGACTAAGACTCATGATTACGACCATTTATGGGGATACTATGCTATGCTTTGGGAGGCTGGGACACGCACAGTTAGAGTATATTTGTATCATGAAGGTGCTTTTAATCAAATAAATTGTTAATTATGATGATGTTTGTAGTTTTGTGCTTTGTATAGTGTAGGTAGCAGTAGTGGTACTAGTTACTATTGGTACTAGTGGTAGAAGCGGTAGGTACCACCACGACCACCGAATATGTCCCACAACGCGAAGAGACTTCAATAGTAACTTTACACTTGATTTAGCTGATCAACCTAATTGCTAATGTCAAAAAGTACGAGTAAATAGTCTGGTACATCCCAAACAAGAATCAGGAGCCATCACATCTACGGGGCTGATCCCAAGCAGCAAATATATATATCTCTCGACTAGTAACATCATACTGCTCAGAGTAACTGCGAACTCAAGATTATTACCCATTTACCCACTCCAAACATTGTTTGGTACCAATCCAAGGTGTGCTTTATATATTTCATTCATGCTAAGGTCTGACTCCATCTTCACTGCTCAATGTTGTCTTTGACTAGTTTTTGCAGATGTTGCCCCGGGGCGTGGTAGACAGCGAGGTTGGGATCAGGGTTTCCTCGCGATGAGTGCCACTATATCTACTATATTAATATAAAGTAGTAACTAAGTACCATTTCATTACTGAAAAGGCTGGTATTCCCTGCGGAGAGAGATTGCATGATTGCTAATTACACTGAACGTAAATTGCATCTAAATATGATTTAGTAGCTGTCTATCAGCTACCGGATAACTATACAACTATAAATATGTTACACAAATGCACGCCAAACTCCGCTGTATGCGACATAACGAAATCTCCGATTCTTCTAATATATATTCATCATCACTATATTCACGTCTATCCCATGATGCTATCCCAGATTCTCCGTACCCATCCGTCCTTGGGGTTGCTCGATTCCCAAGTGGTGTACGGGGGACGACCGGTGTCCAGATCCGCCTCAATGGGCCGCACAAACTTGGTGCGGTACCACGCCTTGTGGCCAATGTACAGAATGACAAACAAAACAGGGCAGATGTAGGCTACCCAAAAGTCCGACACGTTGAAGGTCGGGATCCAAGCGGTGAAACCCTGAGTGAAAATAATCAGGATGTTGAAGAACAGGCCGTACCAGGCCAACCAGGGCTGCCAGATGGCCTTGTAGGGAAGGGTGTCGCGGGACAGACCGCGGGCCTTCATTGCCTTCATGAAGGCAATGTGACTGGCGTTGATGGACGTCCAACAGATGAATCCGGCCACACTGGAGATGTTCACCAGCCAGTTGAAGACGGTCGTGCCCGATTCCGAAACGTTCATGAAGCCCAGAAGTCCAAAGAGAGCGGTGAAAGCCACACTGACGTAGGGGACACCACGGCGAGTGACCCAACCGAAGATCGAGGGCGCGAAACCCTCCTGGGCCAGGCCAAGCAGAACGCGACTGCCACTGTAAACGTTGGAGTTGGCGGCGGACAAGACGACAGTGAGAAGAACAGCGTTGATCAAGCTAGGAAGGACCTTGACACCGGCCAAGTTGGCGGCAATGACCATGGGAGAGGCGGAAGCGTTTTCAGCTCCGCTGGCCAAGTCGGGGTTGGTGTAAGGCACGAGCAAGCCGATGAAGAAGATAGTCAAGACAAAGAAAACCAGGATACGGATGAAAGTTTTGCGGATGGCCGAGGGGACAGTCTTTTGGGGGTTCTCAGTCTCACCGGCGGCGACACCCACCAGCTCAGTGCCCTGGTAGGAGAAACCAGCTTGGATGAGCACAGCCCAGAAACCGACAAACTTGCCAACGGATTCATTGGAGGTAATCAGGTAGGGAGCGAAAGCACCCGGGTCGTGCCAGTACTTGAATCCAATGTAGCCCTGCTTGCCCACACCAGCATCGATGCAGATGGCGAAGATCATGAAGCCCAGAACGGTCAAGACCTTGGTGATAGAGAACCAGAACTCCAGCTCGCCGTAGAAACCGACGGGAAGGAAGTTGATGGCGGAGATGACGACCCAGAAGACACCGATGAAGATAGCAATAGACAGCTGATCATTCCAGTACTGAATGATCATACCCGACGCGGTCAACTCGACGGCGTATGTGGAGGCCCAGTTAAACCAGTAGATCCAACCCATGGCGAAACCCAAGCTGGGGTCGACGAGACGAGCGGCGTAGGAGGTGAAGGCACCGGGGATGGGGATATAGGTAGCCATCTCTCCCAACGAACACATGACCGAATAGACGATAGAACCGACGAAGGCGTAGGCGATAAGGGAACCTGCCGGGCCAGCTTCCGCAAGGGCCGTTCCACTGCTGATGAAAAGACCTGTACCAATAGTACCACCTTCGGGGGGTTAGTGAGTGTTCGCAGGAATGTCAATTGTCGGACCCAGGTGTTTCCCACTCACCAATGGCGATCATCTGCAAGTGACGGTTCTTCAGGTTGCGCTTGAGCTTAGTTTCTTCCTCCTCATTGTCGCTTTCGACATCCTTGGTGAGGCCATTGCGCCGGCGCTCGCGCAGGCCGGAGGGGGTGAGGGAGCGATCGGAAGGGGACTGGGAGCCATTCTCCTCGGTGATGGCACTGTCGATGGGCAGCTTCCCTTGGGAAGCGGCCTTGTTGTCCTCCATAACCGACAGGTCTTCAGGTGAGGTGGGGAAAGGTATGAGAGGAAATCAGGAAGGTGAGAAGAGAGCGCGAGGCAGCGGAGATGACAGCCTCAGCGCACGACAGCTGGGGAGGGAGTCGATGTGTCAGTCAACGTCAATGATGACCGGATTGAGTTTTGGGGAAGAGGAAAAACAGAAACAGAGACAGACATGACAAACCTTTTTCCATGTGGCCATCTTGGGGGGGGCGGCAAGATTTTCTCGTCTGGTTGTCTGGACCGAGTTTTTCCCAGATCGGGGGAGTTCGTTCCATAACGTCAGTCGCCGCGGACGAAAACTCTCCACTGTTTTGCCATGGCGTTACCTAATCACGGGCCAATCACGGGGGTGTCACGGGTTGCAAGCGGCCAGTAAGTGGATTCTAGCGGCCTTCTAGCCGGCGGGGTTACACTGGAGTGGATTAGCCCGGTTAGCGACGGACAGGTACAAATGTAGTACACTTTAATTGAAGTATTCACCATTAGACATTAGACATACCACATATTACAATAAATACAGCTCAATTCCTGGAGAACACTCAGACTGTAGCGGTTTGAGTACTCAAAGAAGGAGAGAAGATGAGAGGCAAAAGTGAAGACGGAAAAAGAAAGCGGAGAAAACTGAAGAGAAAAATCAACTCCCGGCACTAGACTGTTTCGGGCACGGCAACCGCCTTCCCGTCTGGGACAAGGATCACGTGCTTAGTGATAACTGACTCGAATATTACTCAATTCTCCCTTCATACTCGATCCTTGACTCCATACTGATCATGTTTCACCTCATACACTGTCGTCACTTGAATCCCATCGATGCCTCGCCCGACCTCCTCTCCCACTCGGTCTGACCCTCCCCGAACATCACTGACAAACTGAGATTGGCTATCTTCCAAGATAGACTCGGGTCCGGCTGGTCTCCGGTTCGCTGTTCCCGTCCCCGCTAACGGTCCCAACTTGTACCGCCCGGTTCCACTGGCCCCAGTCGATATTTCTCGCGATGAGGATGACCTCCGAAGCAGCGGCCAGATGCATGGAATGTTGACCGTGATGATGGCAATAACCTATACGGTGGTCAGAACAATAGTGGGAGTAACCTGGGAGGGAACATACGCTCTCGCGCGTTGCCCAAAGGTTGCTGGTATTAACCGATTCAATGTGCCATAGCGAAAGGACGCAGCGGAACAATGCGGCAATTATCACAAACACGCCTCCGAAAAGCAGCAGCCCGATCACCAGTTTCCTAGGGAATATGAGTGACTTGGGCTCTCACAACTGTGTCTGAGGTGGACATACCGGCGCCAAGGGAGTTGCACTTGGATCAGTAACGGCAGAGGGATTGAGAGCAGCACGATGTCCGTCCTAGATGAGGACACCATTCTGCGTTAGCAGTGGTCGAGTTGCACCGTGTATTGCGACTCACATGATGTTAGTCACCAGAATGGCAATGTAATTCGCCGAGCCCTGCGTACACGCCTCTTAAGACCCATTAGCCGACCCTAACACCAGTCGCACTATTAACTTACTGCCAGGATTTGGGTAAATCTGCCACAACTGGCTGACGGGGTTACAGTGTAGGTGGATAGTCAGGGTGGCGGCGACGTAGGTGCACAAACACAAGCCTGCCGCGACCTTGATGAACCTTTGCTGAACAAGGCCAATCCTACCTAGATTCAGTGCGGTGCAATGACTTGATATATATGAACGGGTCAACGTACGTCAGACGCTTATAGAAAAACAGCATGCAAGCCTTCAACACCCAAATCAGAGTGACGTAGGCAAACCAGCTGACAAGAAGGCATTTCGATCCAAACTGTCGCTCATGTATCTCCCACTCCTCCATGGATGCTCTCTGCTCGTCGCTGAGTCCGGCATTAGCGCCGAAGCGGACTATAAAGCAAAAACCTGTCAGTTGGCGGCCACTCTTCGGGGAGAGACGAGCTTACACACGAACTTGAACATGAAGACCTCCGTCTACATGATACGGTATGTCAACCTTTACACCCTCGTCCTCGCTAGCGAATTGTATACTTACTGCCCAAAGAACAAGAGCCACGATACTGAGGTAATCATCCCCTTGCCATTTCCTGAAGCCTACTGCTCTAGTTCGAGCGTAGAGTCGGAGCAGGATGACAAACATGCCAATGGCCATCTCCACCCATTCTTCGAAAAAACAACAACTTGCGCAGGAATCTG